TTTCCCTTTATCTGCATAAACTGGACTGATCCATCAAAAAGAACAATCAATTTGCTTTCCCCTCCCTGTTATCTCAACATATTGCAGGAAAGAAAACCAAGAATGTGGCCAGGGGCAGTGGCTCACGCCTTTAATCCTAGCACTCTGGGAGGCCGAGGCGGGAGGATTGCTTGAGCTCAGGAGTTCGAGACCAGCCTGAGCAAGAGTGAGACCCTGTCTCTACTATAAACAGAAAGAAATTAGCCAAACAACTAAAAATAGAAAAAATTAGGCGAGCACTGTGGTGTGTGCCTGTAGTCCCAGAATAGGCAAGGAGGATCACTTGAGCCCAGGAGTTTGAGGTTGCTGTGAGCTAGGCTGACGCCATGGCACTCCAGCCCGGGCAACAGAGCGAGACTCTGTCTCAAAAAAAAAAGAAAGCCTGCTCAAGTGAGGAAAATCCAATGTATCACACTCATGTTAAAACAACATACAGCCAATGAGAAAGGGTCTAGACACACGCACAGAGAATCTCTTAAAGGATAAACGAGAAACAGGGAATAGTGGTTGCTTCTGGGAGGAACCCTAGGTGGCCCAGGAGCAGTATGGGAGGAAGGCTTTTACTGTGTTTTCCTTCTCACCTTTTGAATTTTGTACAATTGACATATTTATTAAAGGCTAATAAAATGTAAATTTAAAATGAATCTGGAGGAAAAAAATCCAACCAGTTTGTCACTAGTTAGTCTCCCACCTGCCCCATTTCTCATGCAGATAACCTATCAGAATGCTGGACAAGGGTGACAACATATTGCTGTGAAAGTGGAAAAAGTCAGTCAAGGAAGCCTTGGTGAGGAAACGATTAGCAAGATGTGGTGGTGGGCAGAACGAGGGGGCAGAAACAGAAAGAGGATTCCAAGCGAACCTTCCCGTGTGCTCTTGGGCAGGTGTTTACGTGTGTTCGGTCTTGGCTTGGGCATCTGTGATATAGTAATAATGACGGCATTTGCATCATTGGGTAATAGTGGGAATTAAATATGCTAGATGCTGGTTATGAAAAGGTCAACAAGACTGCGCCTGATAAGGAAACTGAGGCACAGAAAGGTTAAGTCACTTCGAAGTGATTCCAATCTGGTGTGGAAGAGACCAGTAAGTAAACAGGCAACCTCAGCACACTGTGATCAGCATCGCAGGGTAAGCATCGGGCGCCGGGGGACACGTGGGAGGCGCCCTGTCTTAGGCTGGGACCTGGGACACGCGGGAGGCACCCTGTCTTAGGCAGGGTTCCCTAAGGGCAGAGCCCGAGGTGGGGCTCTCGTGCAAGGGATGACTGAGGAACGCTCTTAGTTGAGGCCTGTAAGAGACAGAGCCGGGCATAGGGCAGGGGAGAAACTAGACAAAGATGTGTGTTCAGCCCAGGGGCTGGCAAACTGTGGCCTTCAGACCAAATCTGTGTTTCTGTAAATAAGAGTTTTAGTGGAATACAGCCACAGTTTTACTAGAATAAGTCCTTTATATATTATCTACTTCTACGCTATGAAGGCAGAGTTGAATAGTTGCAATAGAGACCACCTGGCCCTTTACAGAAAGCTTGCCTCGGGGGGCTACAGAGCATGAATGGCATCAGTGTAGGCTTGGCCCACCTGAAGGCAAGGCACCTGGCAGGACCTGTGCTCAGAAGTGCACTTGGAGTTGAGGAGAGAAGTCCAGGCTGGGAATATAAATTTGTGAGATGGCAGATGACAGATGCATTTAGTAGTTAGAGTCTGGATGAGGTCATCTAGAGAATGACCGAAGACAGAGAAGAGATCCTAGGCCTGAGCCTTGGGGCACAGCAATGTTTACAGGCGAGGAAGAGGAAAAGGAAAGGGATAGAGGAAGGGAGACCCTGGAGGAGAAGCTTGTGAAATAGGAAAAAACTGAGAGAAAGTGGTTTCCTACATGCCAAGTAAAGAACATGTTCCAAGGGGGAAATGACCACCTGTGCTGTTCGGGAAATGGCCAGTTTGGGGGCCCTGAGGGCAGTATGGCTGCACCCATAAAGTCCTCAGGGAGACTGAGCAAGCCCAAGGTGGGGAGAGGAGCAGCCCAAATATGCAAACACGCACACATACACACACACGTGCATCCACGCCATGCACATATAGCTGCACTGCTGCCTTCACCTGGGATTTGTGAACAGACATTAGAGATTAGAGTCTAGGCTGATGTATCGTGAAGAGGTCTGAGAACACAGAGGCTCATTTTTGACAAGAGCAGTTTCAGTGGAATTACATGAGCAGTAGTCTGATTGGAATGAGTTTAAGAGACATGGAAGAAATTGGAGAACAAGAACAAATAATTTTTAGGAGTTGTGCTGAGACGCAACACAGAGAAATGGAGGGGAAGCTAGAGAACGATAGAGTCAAGAGAGGGGTTTTGTTTCAAGATGGGAGAAACTGTAGCATGTTTGCATCACGCTAATCTAGTAGAGAGGGAAAAACTGATGGTGCAGGTGTGGAGAATTGCTAGACATTTTTGAGTTGATGAGAGGATATGGCACTCAAATCAATGAGGAGGTTCCCCGACCCCCGCCCCGACGGAGTCTCGCTCTGTTGCTCAGGCTAGAGTACCGTGGTGTCAACCTAGCTCACAGCAACCTCCAATTCCTGGGCTCAAGCGATTCTCCTGCCTCAGCCTCCCAAGTAGCTAGGATTACAGGCATGCGCCACCATGCCCAGCTAATTTTTCTATTTTTAGCAGAGACGGGATGTCACTCTTGCTCAGGGTGGTCTCGAACTCCTGCCTCGGTCCCCTACAGTGCTAGGATTACAGGCGTGAGCCACCGTGCCCGGCCAGCAACAAGGAGGTTGACCTCTAGGAACACGGGAAGCTTGTCCACAGTAATAGGAGAAAAGGCAGAGCTTGTGTGCACAGATACAAGTAAGGTTGATGAATACCTAAGATCTCTTGACAGCTTGTATTTTCTCTGTGAAATGGGAAGCAAGACCGTCAGTGGAGACAGAATATGGGGAAGATGGCAGGGATTTGAGGAAGGAGAAGAAAAGGTCAAGTGGTCATCCAGGACAATGACAGGGTGAATGGCTCACTGTGTATCTCCTACAGCATCTCCATTGCTTCAGCAGGTTATGTTCTCAGTGTCTATTATGCCCCAGGCACTTTGATAAACATCAAATGCTGCTTGGAAGAAGGTGTGGTAGAGCACCTTCAAAGACATCCCAAATGTTTTTTAGATTTGTAGCTGAGGGCAGCTTGGGCAGGATGTCAGGGTAGAAGCAGTGGTGATCTGGTTTTGGAAGGAACCAGAAGCCTCAAAAAGAGACCACTGCAGGAGCCTCCTTACCTGGTTTGTTGGAATCCATATTTGAGTGATTTTCCTGAAACACAAATCTGATCATGTCATACTTTAACTCCTTTCAGTGATGACAGATAAGAACTTGGGGCAGCCAAGAACTTGAGGCAGCTCACACCTGTGATCCTAGCACTTTGGGAGGATCACTTGAGGTCAGGAGTTCAAGACCAGCCCGAGCACGAGCAAGACCCTGTCTCTAATAAAAATAGAAAAAAAAATTAGCTGGGTGGCATCATGACGCATGCCTGTAGTCCCAGCTACTTGGGAAGCTGAGGTAGGAGGATCGTGTGAGCCCAGGAGTTTCAGGTTGCTGTGAGCTAGACTGTTACCATGGCGCTCTAGCTAGGGCAACAGAGGAAGACTGTCTAAAAAAGAGAACTTGGGGCAAATTGCTTCTAGGGAAGAAAACAGGAATACTGGGTACAGAGCAGAGAGACTTCTCATGGATACCCTTGTGTAATGTTTGGGGCAAAAAAATTAACCATGTGCATATATTCACTATTTAAAAGAAAGACAAGACTCTCTCCTCAAAAGTTTCTATGGCTTTCCACTATCCTTAGGAGAAAGAAAATGCTTAACTTGGTCTATAATGCTCTGCCTGGCATGGCCCTGCCAACCTCTCCACCCTGATCTCACACTGATGTCTTCCTCAGCGCTCTCCACTCAGCTACACTGACCTTCTAATTCGGCTGAGCCAGGCTCTTCCAGGCCTCTTCCCCTTTAGTCTTTTCATTCGGCCTCACTTTCTTATTCCCATCTCTCCCTTCCCCATCTGTGCCAGTCAATTTAGGTCTCAGCTGCAAAGTCACTTTTTCAGGGAAGACTTCCCTGCCTGAACCCCCAAGCCCTGCCAGGTGGTCAGTCCCCTGCTGGGCACTCACTCCCTGGGCACCAGGCATTTCAGCAGCCGCCACCTATAAGGACCATGGTGAAGCGCGCTGAGCTCAACAGTTTGCCTCACTACACCGTCAGTCCAAGGGCAGGGTCCCTTGGTGTCCAGCACAGAGGGTGGCATAGAGTGGTTGCTCGCTCGGTGCCTGTCAGCTGGACCAAACTGAACTTCTCGGGACCCTCATCCACCCAAAGCAGTCGCCGTCAGGGCAGATGTGGGGAAGAGGGAGCGGCCCTTTTGGACTTCCCTCTTAGGAGCCTGGCGACACTGCAGGCGTCCCTCCGCCGGGGCGGGAGGGTCGGGCTCGGGCACGGCCAGGAGCTCCAAGGTCGCACGTGTGAGACCATCGGGTGGGAGCCCTGGCAGCCCTGGATGGAAGGGGGACGACCAGAACTGCAGAGGGCTGCTGCGGGGGAGGCGAAGCTAGGCGACGGATTTGCCAGGCGTGAGTCACAAAACGGCCTCCTCCCCCTGAAGAGAGGAAGATCGGACCACCGCTGAGACAAAAGCCGAGAGGCAGAGACACCACAATCCACCCAGCCTCAAGCAGCCGGCAGCACTGCCCAGCCGAGCCCGGGTCCCGCGGCGGCGTACGCCCTGCGCCTGCGCACTCGGGCCCCGCCCCGCGCCTTCCAGGGCCCGCCCCGCCCTCTGCGTGCGCACCGCCTAGGGCCCGCCTCCGCTAAAGACTGCCGGCGCATGCGGCCGGGCTTATTCACTGGCTGCCAGGGTTTCCGCGCACGTCGCCACTCAGCTCTGGTGCTGACGGGAGGGTCTGAAGTCGGCCTCAGGTAGGCTGACTCCAGGGATCCCGGGGGAACTGTTCTTCGGTGCAGGAGTCGGCGGCGTGAACTGAGCCGGGCGCGGGACGGCCCCGTTGCCGGGGTGACAGACACCGCTCTCCACCAATCAGGGGCGAGGTGGCTCGGCGTCCTGCCCAATGGGCTGCGTGCCTAACGGGAGTGGGGCGGGCGGCTCCGGCCGGCGAGGTGCCGGCTCCCGCGCGCGGGCCGCGTGGCCGGGCGCGGCTGGTGAAGGGTCACCTGGGTTACGCGGCGGCTGCAGGGGCCGTGGGTCTGGTACTGCAGTGCCCGGCGGCACCCGATCAGCCTAACCTGGCTCGTGGGATGGAGAGGGCCGTAGAGGCGCGGAGCCCCCTTCGCTCAGCCGTCTCCGAGAAAGCCCGGCGGCCGCCCCTCTGCTCTGGCCGCCCTGGGCCTTCAGGGCTCGGGCTCAGCCTCCCCGGGGTGCGGGTTCCAGGTCCGAGCGGGCCCACCGCGCGCTGGGGGATGGGATGGGCAGCCTAGCGCCGTGGGAGGAAGGGGCCTTTGAGCTCGCGGTGCGGACGGCCACCCCCGGCCGGCCCCTTTGGCCCCACAGCTTCCCTCCCTTCCTGGCGGCCTGGAGAGCGGATGCGGGCGTGTTAGAGTCCTCACGTTTGTGCGGCGCCCTTACTACCACACTCGTTACATTTTTGAATCCTTAGCAGCCCTGTGACACGGGCGATGCGGAGATTCTCATCCCCATTTTACGGAGGTGAGAACCCTGGCTTTCGGCAGCTCGAGTGACTCGACTGAGGTCTCAGCACACGAGTGATGCAGCTGGAACTTATCTTACAGCATTGAAGGAAAAAGAAGCTTTTTATTCTAAATCTTTGTTGAATTTCTCTGATGCATTGTGATTTATGTTAACTTACATGCCTGAAAACCCTCCAGTGTCTTCGATCACCTTCAGAAAAAAGTTCAGATCGGGCATTTGAGTTTGCACGTGATTCGGCCCCTTGCCTACCTTTACAACTTACCTTCCACCACCCTTTTCTCGGCCCTACCTCTGTTCTCTGCAGATGCCCTCACCTGCCTGTTCACTGTTTGCTAAAAGTGTGTTGTCAGTCCTTCAAGGCCCATTGCAAGTCAGGCCTGCGAAACAGCAGCAGCATGGATCCTCCCCCACCCCCAGGATGTCTCTAGGTTCTGAAAGCTTTCTGCTCTCTTCTTCCCCCTTTACAGGCTTCATATATTTCCCTCTGCTTTCCACCGTGGCTGGATTACTCATGTATGCGTAAATGTTTCGTCCCTCTAACTGGACTGCTGGCAACTTGAGAGCGGTTGGACCCAAATCTGATTCATATTTGCTGCCCCCAAAGTGTGTGGCACAGCCACTCTCACCCAGTGGGTGGCCCATAAATGTTAGTGAATGAGCCTCCCACCTGATCTTTGTGTACATTGGAATATTTATTGCCAGGCATTGTGGGCCTGCAGGAATCTCCCCCAGAGATGTTACCCTCTTAGTAAAATTGGGGCAAATCAAATGTAAATGGATGAGATGAGCCTTTTATAGAAGTAACCCACTCAGGGTGGCTGAGGAATTTCTAGGAACATCCAAAATTCAGTGAATGAGGGCAGGGTATAGTCTCAGTACGGGATCTAACTGGTTAGGACACATCTAAAATGTAGCCACGTCTGATGTTCATGGGTTCAGTAAGGTACTGTAAGGTTCAGTAAGGTAGTATTTCCCCAAAATAATAGAGACTTAGGGTCAAATAAGTCTGAGGGAACTGCATCCTGTGTAGCCCTCTGGGGAGATCACACTGTGGGTTAACTTATTTAATGCTCCCAGAGGTCTTTAAAGAAACCAGATGACTTTGTTTAATCAGCATTTCTCTGATTTATCTATCCATAAAACCCTTTTGGGGACTGTCATGCATTTTGCAGAAACCAAGAAGCAGCACTTTCAGAAATGCTGCAACAGAGGATAGAATGAGCAGGACAGTATCTTCCTGGCTGTCCCAGGAGGAAGACATTCTGAGCATTTTATTTTCTTGCCAAGTGTGTTCATTCCTGCTCCGGGGGGGAGTGGGATGGGGGAATGCTTCAAAGAGACCTCCCCAGTTTTCTTGTTCCTTTCTTAGCTTATTTTTGTTATAATTTGGCTTCACATGGAACGTTCCTGGAGGAGGAAAATATCCTGACTGTGCCAAAGTAAGCACTTTTTGCTACTTGGCGATTGTGTTTCTCATTTTGGTCACATTTGGCTTTGCTGACCAAATGATGTTTCTGGGCCTCTGAAGCTGGGGACAAGTGATAAATCCTCCGTGGTGAGCTGTCACTGTCTCCTCACCTCTTGTCTATGCTGTCCTTATATCTGCCTCTTTCATATTTCATCAAGTCTGCTTCTTCATTTCCTGCCTTGACTGTACTGCTCTTTGGATTTAATCTACTGTCCCCTCTTGAGTCCTCTGCCCATGATGTGCTTAGACTGGTTTATTATCTGATGTTCCTTTCTCCCAGGATATACAGTCTCTGTTCGTGGCATACCTGGGAATAATTGCTGGCAAGGAGCAAGCCGTTAAATTACAGACAAGAACTACCTTTACTTAAAAGCATTTTAGGTTTAGCTGCACCTACTTTTAAGTTTTGAAGTTCTTTCCTTTTAGTCTATCTTCCATAACCTAGAGGAGCTGTGTTTTCTTGGCGATACATTGTAGTTTAGCCAAAGACATTATTTCTTTCTTGGAGAATTGCAGTGCTTATCCAAGCTTGAAATTTTTTTCCCATATAGGGAAAATAATGAGGCACCTGCCTGGTATTCCAGTGTCTGGCCGTGATGTCAGCCAAAATTTGGGGAATAGTGTTCTATCAACCAGCTTGGAGCTGGTTTTTTGGTTTTGGTTTTATTAGGTTGACTCTTGAGGTTCTTAGTTGTTAAAGCTTTAAACAAAAGCTACGTTATTCGAGTAGCAGTTGTTTTTCTACCCATATTTGACTAAAGCCATCTAGTGATCCAAGAAACATTTGTTATCCTATTTAGACCTGACAAGAACCTTCCAAAGGCATGTGGCAGATGAAGAAACTGAGAGGCTCTAAGAGGGTTCATAGCTAGTATTAATAATTGGCAGAGCCAATATTTGAACCCAGATGAGTTTGGTTTGTTGAGATATATTTATTTTATCTGTAATTTTTTCTTCTTCCAGGTCAAAAAGTAAAATGAAGTACATTCTAGTTACTGGTGGTGTTATATCAGGAATTGGAAAAGGAATCATTGCCAGCAGTGTGGGCACAATCCTGAAGTCATGTGGTTTACATGTAACTTCAATTAAAATTGACCCCTACATTAACATCGATGCAGGAACATTTTCTCCTTATGAGCATGGTAAGCAAAATGCATTTTTCCCTCCCTCTCCCTTTCTTTTTCTTCCTTCCTTCCTTCCTCCTTCCCTCCCCACTTTCCTTCCTTTCTTCCAGCCCTTGGGAATTCTGTGTACATTTTGCATAACTTCTATTTGTTGCCCTCTAAAAAGGTTCTCAGTGTAGCAGAATGATGCTTTTCTCACCTAGACAGGAAGAAGCAGAAGTCTTAATAGGCAATGCAGTGATTAGACTTCAGAGGTGTCTGTAATAAAAATGATCTTTTTGGTGGCTGAATGAAAGTTTGTCACTTCTCTTGAATAAAGACGTCTGGTGACATAATTACGTTCTTCTGACTATTTGAGAAGAGGGAGTATGCGTGTTCTTTGAGACTGCAGTCTTTAGAAATAGGGTAAGTGGATAGAAGTTGTAAGGAAATAGGTTTTGGCCCAATATAAGGAAGACCTTTATAATAGTAAGCACCCTCCAAGAGTGGGGTGATTGGCTTCAAGAAGTTGTTGAATTATCTTTGGTAAGCTGTTGAAACACAGGCTAAAGGATGACTTCGTAGGGATATAGGCAACAGCTAGATGCTGGATTTGGAGGACCTGTAAGTTTGGGATTCTAGTTTGCTAATACTTTGGATAATATAAATGAAGATCTTCGAGGCAAGTGAAAAGTTGAAACCATTAAGGGAGGGTAGGAAAAACATCTCTTGAGTTTTTAAATTCTATATTCATACTCATACTGTGTTAGGCTGAGGTAAAAGTCTATAAAGATTAGTGTCACTGGAGTAAAAGTCCTCATGTAACAGTGTCAGGAGAAGATCCATGTACTGGAGTGATATTTATACAAAAATCTTGAGCAGAGGATTAGTTGTCTCTGAGGGGGAAAATAAGGCATTTTTTCCTCTCCTGTTTTTGAGCTTGTCTCCTATTGTGATGGTGGGATTGAATCATTCTGGGCACAGTTTCAAGAATGAAGTTTCAAGGAATGAATGTGAAACAAAGGAATAGGGGGAACTTGCGCAGTTTCCCCACTTTGTTTAGAACTAAAGCATAGCTTAGAAGCTGATTTTTATAATTAGCACAAACTTCATATGCATGTATCATGTAAGTTTTGAATCAAATCATACTTTTGTTATACTTTAAACTTTATTACGCTTAATTAGGAGACTTTTCTGAAAGTTCTTTCTCTCTGGGCAGCAGATGCCATACTGTTGTAAAGTCCTGTATATTGCCACCCTTGTGGGCTGTCATCTCCTTCCATTTTATACTGTTTTGTAATTCTTCCTGAGTAAGTGTGAGTTTGTTGACAGGCCAGAAGTCTGACGTTAGCTTGGAAAATGGTTGGTAATTTTTCTTTTTTGTGTCGTAATTAGTTTTCTAGAAATAAATTTCTCTGCTTCATATCAAGTTAATGCAGACTTTGTTCTATCTGAATGTTTATATTTCAGGATTCAAGTTGTGCCACAGTATAGGTACTTTTCACTTCCCTAAACGTTTTCCCTGTTCACTGCAGGTGAAGTTTTTGTTCTGGATGACGGTGGGGAAGTAGACCTTGACCTGGGTAACTATGAGCGGTTCCTTGACATTCGCCTCACGAAGGACAATAATCTGACCACTGGCAAAATATACCAGTACGTCATCAACAAGGAACGTAAAGGAGATTACTTGGGGAAAACCGTCCAAGGTAAGACTGGACTTACCTTTAAGGTTAAAAAATCTTAACCAGTTTCTTTTGAGTATAAAAATTTACATTTTCTGTGATGTCAGCATGAAACTATCAAGGTATTGTTACTGAAACATGCCTGCAGTTGAAAATACAGAATTGTGTAGCCATTTACTAAAAAAATAATTTGAAGAAGCCATTGCTGCTCTGCAGCTGGCATAGGAGCTTGTCAGTCCAGCCAAGGCAGCACGATTTGAGTCCAGAGAGCTGTTGTTTTTAGTCAGTGATGAGTGTGACGTGGTGAAGGCACCTAGATTAGAGCATTAAGCCAGGTGGCATGTAGGTTGTGCATCTGGGACTGACTGTAGACGGTGATAAGGAAGTGAACATCTGTTGTGTACGCTGGTTTTCATCAATGCCATATGGGCTGGGGCAGTCTGAGAAGTGGGTTTCTGGGTCCTCCCATGCTTTCACCAGCACAGCTTCACTTATATCTATTTGCTGTTTTGGGGTTTTGCATAAAGTGTTCATTTGAGAAGAGTATTTTGCTACTTTAAAAAAGTGGGATTGGAAAACCACTGGTCTAGAAAAATGGCAGCAGCCCAAATTTTGGGAGTCACTGAAAGGTGGCTTTCATCTGAGTTATGAGAGCAAATCTGCTGTTGGCTTCAGACTGTACTGGACTGAAAGCTGAGGGTCACACTGATCGCTGGCTCTGGTCTGGGGCCGCCCTGGCCAGATTTGGGGCTGGTTGGGTCATGTTTGGGTCTTAGCTCTGCCACTTACCAGCTTTATGAACGTGGGCAGATCACTTAACTTCTTTGAGGTATGGTTTCCTTTCCTGTAAAGTGAAGATAACAACATCCACTTCTGTGGGTTGTTAGGAGGATTAAAGCAGCTAAGTCAATAAAGCGTTTCCCTGAGTTCCTGACACAAAGAAAGGGTCGATTAGGAATCAAAATGATTTTGATCATATAGTTTGCTGTTCTAGGCCTCCAGTACGTTCATTCATTTATTCATCATCTGTCAAATATGTATCGAATGCTCACTGGGGTCAGATCCTCACTGGTGCTAGTAAAGCGAGTGATTCACAAGACCAGCCAGGTCACTGCATGGAGGTTCCCTGTGGGAGAGACAGACAACTAACAGATAAAAAGAAACGTCTGCTAGGAGCTGTGAAGGAGACAAATGTGTGAGGAGAGAAAGAGTGGCTGGGGCAAGCCACTTTGGACAGACGGTCAGGGAGTCTCCTAGCAGAGGCCAGTCACGGGGAGGACGGAAGGAGGAGGGCACAGCAAGTACAGTGGATCAAGGCCACAGAAGGCTTGGTTGATCAAGGAACAGAAGGGAGGCCAGTGCGGCTGAGGCACAGTGACCAAGAGGGATGGTCAGAGAGGCGGATGAGGGGGACCACAGCCAGGTTCTACCTGGCCAAGGGGTTCAGATTTTATTCAGAGCACTGGGAAGCCACTGAAAAGTTTAAACATGGGAGTGATGAATTCTGATTTGCATTTTAAGAGATCACTTGGGCTGCTGTGTATGGAATGGATAATGAATATGCTTGTGCTCGAGGCACTGCTGTTTAACTCCAGTGACTGCAGTTACATAGTAATTGTCAGCCCTCAGGAACTTGCAGTCTGAGCCCAATAATTATTTTTAAAAAGCATTTAGCAGTAGCTGGCATTTGTTGAGCACTGACATGCTAGGCACTCTGAGCATTTTACAGGTGCTATCGCATAAAATTTCCACAGTTCTGTGAAGTAGAAGTTATCACCTCCGCTTAACAGATGGAGAAAACAAGCTTAAGGGCAGTGAAGTAATTTGCCCAAAGATCTACAGCTAATGAGTGCTGGAACTGAGACATGCATCCAGACATCCTGACCCCAGATTCCGTGCTCGTAGCCATTCTGCTAACTGTACCGTCTCTGCAGTGGATTGTCTACCCTTTGGTAAACTGGAAACATGGAACAGGGTCCTGGCAGGCACTTGTTCCTGGAAAAGCACTCAGGTGTGATGTGCCCACCTCAGCCTTGGTTGCGAGCAGTCGAGGTGGCCACACAGTCTGTTGTGTTGGTGTGTGGCCAAACGGTGGGCTCTGATGTGGTTGGGACACCACTTTTGGCCTTCTTCTCTTGCAGGGTTTCGAGCAACAACTTGGAAATCTGGGAAAGATTAGTTGAGGCCAATTAAAGGGGGCCTCAGAAGTATTTTTATGACCCCATTGCTGCTCTGTCCAGGCAAAGAGTGTAGCAGTTTGCTTTAACAATAAGCGTATTGGCCTCAATCAGTGCTGATGGTCAAGCGTCAGTTGCGCATTTCTCTTCTCTCTCCCAGTTGTCCCTCACATCACGGATGCCATCCAGGAGTGGGTGATGAGACAGGCGTTGATACCTGTGGATGAAGATGGGCTGGAACCTCAAGTGTGTGTGATTGAGGTTTGTGTGATGCCTGCGTATGTGAACAGGTGTTATTCCTCTCCTTAGTCAGCCGTCGACAACTGATAGGACAGTTTCCAGTGAAGCTTTCCCTTCCTGTCTGTCAGTGCAGTATGTTGCAACATGGCAGGTAAGGGCACAGTGACCCTCGTGGAATGGCCACTCAGGAGAAAGCAGTACTTTGTCCACACCGTACTTCTTTTTTTAGCACTTATAGATTGACTTTGTACCAAGTGCACCAATAAGAATGACACATCTTCATCCATCTTTGGAGAAGGTCGGTAGATCTGTTGCTTTCCTCTGGCAGGAACATTCCCCTCTGAATGAACTCCATGTGGTTTCAGTTTCGGTATTCCCACTCTGCTGATCCTAGCTGTTGCATCTCAGTGTTCCTCTGATAACAGGAGACTCGAAAATTCCAGCAGTTTATAACTGATGCTTTTTAGTACAAAAGTTACTTTTGGTTATCTAAGGAGGTTTAGATTTTTTTTGCTTTGTGATTCTCATATAAATAAAACTCCTGGTCCCACTCTCACCCTTTTTCTTGAAATGATGTGGAAAGACCCATAATAACCTTGGGAAATGATGAGCCTATCCAAAAAGTAACCTTTTTAGCACAAAGAAATGTCTAATCACTGTTAACTGACGTTGTAGAAAGTCTGTGTTACATTGTTAATGATCCCTGAATCAAGATGACAGAGCAGTTAGAAAACTAAATTGCCAGAGCAGGGTTTAGTGCTTACCCTCTAAAATGACTTTGTTCTTCCAGCTTGGTGGCACTGTGGGGGATATAGAAAGCATGCCCTTCATTGAGGCCTTCCGCCAGTTCCAGTTCAAGGTCAAGAAGGAGAACTTTTGTAATATCCACGTCAGTCTAGTTCCTCAGGTAAGACGTTTGTCAGAGTTTTACTTTGGAGGAGTTAGGAGAAAGAAAAGATTGATTTTCACTTGTATCTAGTAGTTTTCAATACTTGATGTGCAGGAAGCTGGGAATAGAGACCTTGGCGGCCGGGTGTGGCTCACCACGCCTGGAATCCCATGCCAGCACTTTGGGCCTCCAGGCGTGAGGCTCGCTCTCGCTTGAGGCTGGGGATTTGAGGCCAGCCAGGACAAGAGCACCGTCTCTATAGAAAAATAGTCCCAGCTACTCAGGAGGTTGAGGTGGGTGGATTGTTTGAGCCCAGGATTTCAAGGCTGCAGTGAATGAGCTATGATCATGCCACTGCACTCCAACCTGGGCGACAGAGTGAGACCCTTCCTAATTTTTGTCAGTATCGACTCTTTACAATATTTGTCTTTGTGAATTTTTGTCTTTAAAAGCAACCCCTTTACTCTGTTATACCATGTAGTAAAGACAGATGCCTGTGGTCAACCTACCATCATTAACTGTACCTGCCCTGATTTTAATTTTTTGAATTTCCATTTGATCTTTTAAAGTTGTATGATTATAATAAAGTTAAATTCACAAAGAAGTGTTTGTTTTATTTAGAGTCAGGGTCTTACTCTGTCACCCAGGCTAGAGTGCAGTGGCATGATCATAGCTCGCTGCAACCTTGAACTCCTGGGCTCAAGTGATCCTCCTGCCTCAGCTTCCCAAGTAGCTGGGACTACAGGTCTGCACCACCACGCCCGGCTAATTTTTTTACTTTAATTTTTTGCAGAGACAGGGTCTTTGTTGCCCAGGCTGGTCTCAAACTCCTGGCCTCAAGCCATCCTCCCACCTTGGCCTCCCAGTGAACAGTATTTAGATATTCAAAAGTATATAAACCCTGAAGAGGGCTGTAGGCACGGAGGGTGTCTGGTGTGGCAGGGGAATGAGAGAGGGCGGGGTCCTCATTTAACAGGGTAATCAATAGAAATGTGAGGAATTAGCAATAAAGCATGCCAGAGGGATCAATGAAAAGAGTTGAAGAGCAATTGTTTCTAGCTTTTGGAAAGTGGGAGAGGGTGGGGAACCACCATTTGTTAGGACAAACCCTGTACAACTATTGGACCCTAAAATACATGCACTTGTAACTTTGACAAAAGTATTAAAAGAGGTTCAGGGAAAACTGATACTTAAATTCTTTATCCTAGAGAAACTAACTTGTTTTTCCTTTTGTAAAATAGCCAAGTTCAACAGGGGAGCAGAAGACTAAACCCACCCAGAATAGTGTCCGAGAACTCAGAGGGCTTGGGCTTTCCCCAGACCTGGTAAGATTTCTTGATTACCTGGTTTCAGTGCGATGTTTTACATCTAATTAAAATCACTCTTCCATGACAGACAAGACCTCTGTCGTCTTAGCATGCTCTTGATTGTAATTGACGACAGGAGAGAGGTTTAGTGCTCTGAACCCGGGCTATTGTTGGGATTTTCTTACCTGGCTCGAGTGAGGTCTTGTACTCTCCATGCCTTATGTCTCCTCTCAGTCCTTCACTTACTCTCCTTTTCCTTGCTGCTCATGAACGTTAATTAAAGAAGAAAACCCTAGTTAGTTTTGTAGTTCATTATCTGTTCATTTGTACTACCGTTTCTCTAATTTGGGATTTAGGATTTCAGTTTCAAAAACAGGCAGTAATATTTTTGTGGATTACATGCATTGTGCTGAGAATTAACATTTCATTCCTCTTAACAATGTGTTGTCTGTTTTCATTTCAATCAGGAACCCCACCCCCACCCCCAGTTTTGTAATTCGCTCCTTCTATTAAACCATCTTATTTTCTTTACTGCCAGGTTGTGTGCAGGTGTTCAAATCCTCTTGACACCTCAGTGAAAGAGAAAATATCGATGTTCTGCCATGTTGAACCTGAGCAAGTGAGTAGAAATTCCATCTCTGTGTAGGTCATTTTTTGCTTTTAATTATCCTAAAGCCTCTTGATCAGTTTCATGAGGCTTGTTATTTTGTAATGGGAGACAGTCACCTGTTCCCTAGAAGGACTGATTGCCATTGGCTCTGATTCACCTTCACCTGCCTGGTGGTTCCCTGAATGCACTTGGATCCCTCCCGCCTCCTCTCTGCCCACCCCTTGTGCTTTACGCTCCACGAGGCTGAATGTCTTTCAGTTCTCCTAAGGCACTGACTGATTTCTGTCATGAATCCGTGTCCCTCTCCCCATTGGCCTGGCAATCTACTCGTTTTCATCCTTGGGGGCTAATGAGGACAGAATGTTGTCTGAGAAACTTTACCTGCCAAACCTCCTGGCCCTTAACACATTCTTCTCTGGGCTCCTTGGTGAGCCCATCCTCCGCCCATCCTCCTGCCCCTTGTGTGTGTGTCTGCTGTGTGTGTGTGTGTCCACGTTTGTCTTCCCTCACAGACCTTGAGCTTCTGGAGGATGAGGACCACCTTATTCCACTTTATGTTTTTGGTGCCTGGAGTCTAGGGTGCTGTAGGCTCTCACACATATTGTAGTCTTTTTGTTACTGTAGCTGTTGTACGGGAAACCCAAAATTTTGGAACCTGTAATATATCTAAGTGTGGTGCTTAGTATGGGAATTCTAGTGGCGGTAAGTTGAGATTGTGGCTTTGGCCAGCTTTGGCTGAAGGAACATGGAAGAGAAGTTGGGGTCAAGAAATGTGGAGATTAGGCTATGGAGAGTTTATTTCACTACTAGGTTATTTGAGGGTCAGGAGACTAAGTAGGAGAGCCCCGCTGGCCCAGAGAGGGGAGCAGCAGTAGCAGGGTAGGGTTACAGTAAGAGCAATCATCTATTTACAAGATTATGAGGGGTGCAGAGGTAAATAGAAAGCAGTTAAAATCATTGGCCAGGCATTTCCACAAACAGCGAGAGGAAAGTTTCTGGCCCCAGGCTTCAGGGTGTGAGGGCCTGAGGTCAGGGCTCCCGGGTCTGAGCTCAGTCAAAGGATTCTGCTTCTCACAGAGCAGGTGGAACACAGAGTAATTTTAGTGTGCTCAACAGCCCTTTATCATGCACTTTAATCATTTTAGATATTTCCGTCCTAGCAAGTGAAAGGAATTCAGTACTGTAGCAGAATAAGTTGTCATTAAAGTTATTTACTATTAAAAATGTAACAAGTACTTAAATTTCCATACTTCAATTTCAGATCTTTTGCCTATTTTTTAAATTGAGTTGTAAGAATTCCTTATGTAGTCTGAATACAAGTCTTTTATCAGGTATACTTTCGCACATATTTTCTCCCCACTTGTGACTTGTCTTTTCATTTTCCTGATAGTGCCTTTTGGAGCACAAAAGCTTTTAAATTTTGATGAGGTCCAGTTTATCCATTTTTTCTTTTATGGACTGTGCTTTCACTGTCATATCTAAGAACTGTTTGGTTAACCCAGGTCATGAAGAGTTTCGTGTTTTCTTCTAAAAGTTTTATAGTTTTAGGACTTACATGATCCATTTTGAGTTTATTTTTGTGTATAGTGTGAGGGAAGGGTTGAAATTCATCTTTTTGTATGTGAGTCTCTGGTTGTCTCAGCCCCATTTGTTGAAAAGACTATCTTTTTATGATATCCTATACTTTTCTTTATGAAGGTGCTTTTTAGGTTTATTAATCTTCATAAAGTTGTTTAGATTTATTTATAGTAACTCAGAATTTTTGTTACAACAGTGAGTGGCACTTCCTGATTAGATATGGCCCACATGTAGAAAATCCTGCTGATTTCTGCCCATTGATCTATAGCCTAGCATCCTTACTAAAATTCTGTGTATTCTAATTGTTTACCTGTAAATTCTCTTGGTTTTTATGGATAAGCAATGATTTTTTTTTTTTTTTTTTGTAGAAAAGAAGAGCTTTATTTCTGTATGTTACATATGACCCATATTCACTCTGGGGTGGAAACTTACATATAAATGTACCACAATTAGGCCCTGTGCCTCAAAGGGTGAAGCAGGTGCACGAAGGCACCCAAGTACACAGCAGCCCATGGCCGGTGGTCTCTCAGGAAGAACGTTACTGAAATCAGTCTCTTGTCCAGTTGAAGCTGTAGTTATGGCTCGCGGTACAGGGGGTCTGGCGTTGGATGAGCTCCAGTTGCTTCGATACTGCGATAAGCAGTGACATTGCATGCATTATTCAGTGGCAATTTTTTCTTGTTTTCCAGTTCTTTTTTTTCCTTATCTCATTGTAATGGCAAGTATCTCCAGTACATCCTTGAATAGAAGTAGTGATAGCGGTCATTCTTGCCTTTTTCTGGACTTTAACTATTAAACATTAATATTCAATGTTAAACCATGTGATATTTCTGTGGGTTTTTATATTTTTAAATTTTCCATAATCTTAATTAACCAAGAATTTTTAGTATGAATTAGTTTTGAATTTTTATCAAGTCTGTATCCACTGAAGTGATTTTTTTTCTTCCTTTAGTCTGTTTCTGTGGTGAATTCCACTCTTAAATTTCCTAATGCAGTGGTTCTCAAACTTGGCTGCACGTTGGAATCATTCGGGGAGCTTTAAAAAATATTGCTGCCTACACTCCTACCCCTAGAGATTTTCTTTTTTTTTTTTTTAATTATTTTTTATATAATAGGGGATCTTCCGGTGAGGACCAGAAAACCTACTAGACAAATTCTGAAAGAACTATAACACTACCCCTAGAGATTCTAACTTAAGTGGTCTGAGGTACAGCATGGGCTTTTGGATTTTGGTAAGTTCCTCTGAATGGTTCCAGTATGCATCTGAGTTTGAGAACCACTGTTTTAGTTAAGCCATTCATGAGTTCCTGGGATAGGTCCTCCTTGGACATGATTTTTTTTTAAACGCTATATGTGGTTTAGATTGTGATTTTTTTTTTTTTTTTAAGGATTTTTGCCTCATTTTTATAATAGATTAGCTGCTAATTTTTCTACTCTTCTTGAGTTTGTTCCGGTAGTTTATATTTTTGTAGGAAATTGCCCTTTTTTCTGTTTTCAGAAAAATTCAGAAGAGTTATTTTCTCAAGGTCACATAGCTAGTAGCAGGCTACAAGCCCAGTGGGTTTTTGTATTTACTAAATGACTTGCTTTTTTCTAAACAGGTGATCTGTGTCCATGATGTCTCATCCATCTACCGAGTGCCCCTGTTGTTGGAGGAGCAAGGGGTCGTAGATTATTTTCTTCGAAGACTTGACCTTCCTATTGAGAGGCAGCCACGAAAGATGCTGATGAAGTGGAAAGAGATGGCTGACAGGTTTGTTTTGCCAAGAGGAGCTGGGAGAGCCAGCCTTCTTTCTCTCTTTACTAGGTGCTCAGGGAATCCAACTCTTGCTGTAGCACTTTAGCACTCCTGCCATCAGCTCATGTTAGAGAGGTCTCGATGGCAAGAGGCGTTCAGAATGTTAAGAAAGGATCTTAGCTGTCATGCAGCTGTGGCATAGATGAGGAGGTGCTGGGAAGGCTGGGTCTGGTGCTAGTCTTCCAAGCAGTGAGTTCAGGTTATGTTCTGTCATGCTTGTCTCTTACTGACCAGAAGATCAGTGCAAACAGGCATCCCAGTGGCAGCGGGTTAGTGCACACAGCGGAAGCCCACACACTGGCTGGCCATGGCTACAGCTCTCCTGGGTAGTGCCCTAGATGTTTGAACTGCGTTTGGGAATGTGCCGCTCACCCTGCACCAGAAAGGGATCAGTGGGGATCTATTGCTAAACTCAGTACTTCAAGGACTGTCCCACTCCACTGCCTCCTCTTAAAGCTCTGCAGTGTTCTCATGTCACTTCAAAGGTCTTCACTCAGTGTCTCAGAGCAACAGTTGAGCCACATTACAGTTGCAGAATCAATATGATATTAGAAGCATTTGGGGAGGGCGGACTCATTCCACTGCTTTTTGATATTGACTTTCATTTTGACATTTTCCCTTTCAGTCTTTGTTTACATATAGCTACCAAAATGGCACACAGTTTTGTGATCCTTTTCTTTATAAAACATTCTAAGCATTTTGTTCTGTTAATAATTGTCCTCTACAAAGAAAGTTTTTAATGAGAACAAACTTTTCTATTGTGAACATCCCATGATTTGACTCTTCCCGTCATCACGTTAACTCTTACGAATTGTCTGTTCATGTCTGTTAATTTTTCTCATCATTTTGTATTTATTTATTTATTTTTATTTCAGCACATTATGGGGGTACAGATGTTTAGGTTACGTATGTTGCCCTTGCCCCCCGCCCCAAGTCCAAGCTTGAAGGATGTCCATCCCCAGATGGTGTGCATTGCACTCTTTGTGTAAGCATATACCCGTCCACTCCTTCCTCCTCCCTCCTCCCCTCTGCCTGACATCCAATAGATGTTATTCTTATATGTGCACTTATGTGTTGATCAGTTAATACCGATTTGATGGTGAGTACATGTGGTGCTTGTGTTTCCATTCTTGGGATACTTCACTTAGTAGAATGGGTTCCAGCTCTATCCAGGAGAATACAAGAGGTGCTATATCACCATTGTTTCTTTTTTTTTTTTTTAGATAAGAGTCTCACTCTGTTGCCCTGGCTAGAGTGCCATGGTGTCAGCCTAGCTCACAGCAACCTCAAACTCCTGAGCTCAAGCGATCCTCCTGCCTCAGCCTTCTGGGTAGCTGGGACTACAGGCATGCGCCACCATGCCCAGCTAACTTTTTCTATATATTTTTAGTTGTCCAGCTAATTTTTTTCTATTTTTAGTAGAGACGGGGTCTCGCTCTTGCTCGGGCTGGTCTCGAACTCCTGACCTTGAGCGATCCACCCACCTCGGCCTCCCAGAGTGTTAGGATTACAGGCATGAGCCACCGCGCCCAGCCCAGCATTGTTTCTTAAAGCTGAATAGTAGTCCATGGTATGCATATACCACATTTTATTAATCCACTCATGTATTGATGGACACTTGGGTTGTTTCCACATCTTTGCAATTGTGAATTGTGCTGCTATAAACATTCGGGTGCAGGTGTCTTTTTTATAGAGTGTCTTTTGTTCTTTTGGGTAGATGCCCAGTAATGGGATTGCTGGATCAAATGGTAATTCTACTTGTATCTCTTTAAGGTATCTCCATATTGCTTTCCACAGAGGTTGCACTAGTTTGCAGTCCCACCAGCAGTGTATGAGTGTTCCTATCTCTCCGCATCCACGCCAACATTTATTGTTTTGGGACTTTTTGATAAAGGCCAGTCTCACTGGAGATAAGTGATATCTCATTGTGGTTTTGATTTGCATTTCCCTGATGATTAGAGATGTTGAGCATTTTTTCATATGTTTTTTGGCCATTATTCTGTCTTCTTTTGAAAAGTTTCTGTTCATGTCCTTTGCCCACTTTTTGATAGGGTCGTTTGATTTTTTCTTGTTGATTTTCCTGAATTCTAAGTAGATTCTGCTTATCAGCTCTTTATCAGATTTGTAGCATGCAAAAATTTTCTCCCATTCTGTAGGTTGTCTGTTTGCTCTTGTGACAGTTTCTTTGGCTGTGCAGAAGCCTTTTAATTTGATTAGGTCCCATTTATTTATTTTGGTTGCTGCTGTGATTGCCTTTGGGGTCTTCTTCATAAATTCTTTGCCTAGGCCAATGTCTAGAAGAGTATTTCCAACATTTTCCTCTAGAATTCTAATAGTTTCACTCCTTAGATTTAAATCTGTTACCCAGTGTGAGTTGATTTTTGTGAGAGGTGAAAGGTGTGGATCCTGATTCAGTCTTCTACATGTGGCTATCCAGTTTTCCCAGCACCATTTATTGAATAAGGATTCTTTTCCCCAGTGTATGTTTTTGTCTGCTTTGTCAAAGATTAGGTGGCTATATGAGGATGGTTTTATATTTGGGTTCTCAGTTCTGTTCCACTGGTCAATGGCTCTATTTTTGTGCCAGTACCAAGCTGTTTTGATTACTACAGCCTTATAATAAAGTTTGAAGTCTGGTAAGTTGATACGTCCCATTTTGTTTTTATTGCCTAGAATTGTTTTTGCTATGTCGGGTCTTCTCTGGTTCTATACGAGGCGTAAAATTAATTTTTCTACATCTGTGAAGAATGATGTTGGTATTTTAATAGGAATTGCATTGAATCTGTAGATCACTTTGGGTAGTATAGACATCTTAACAATGTTGATTCTGCCGACCCAGGAGCATGGTATGGTTTTCCACCTGTTTACGTCCTCGGCTTTTTACTTCCTCAGTGTTTCATAGTTCTCTCTGTAGAGGTCTTTTACCTCCTTAGTTAAATATATTCCTAGGTACTTTATTTTCTTTGTTGCTATTGTGAAGGGAATTGAGTCTTTGATTTGGTTCTCGGTATGACTGCTGTTGGCGTATGTGAAAGCCTCTGATTTGTGTGTATTGATTTTATATCCTGAGACTTTACTGAATTCATTTATCAATTCCAGGAGCCTCTTGGTTGAATCCATGGGGTTTTCTAGATACAATATCATGTCATCAGCAAATAGTCAGAGTTTGATCTCTTCTGTTCCCATTCGTCTGCCTTTAATTCCACTCTCTTGCCTGATTGCTGTGGCCAGGACTTCCAGCACTATGTTGAATAGAAGTGGAGATAGTGGGCAATGTTGTCTGGTTCCAGTTCTAAGTGGGAATGCTTTCAATTTTTCCCCATTCGGTATGATGTTGGCTGTGGGTTTGTCATATATGGCTTGTATCATTTTTAGGTAAGCGCTGTCTATGCCTATTTTGTTAAGCGTCCTTACCACAAAAGGGTGTTGAATTTTGTCAAATGCTTTTTCTGCGTCTATTGAGAGAATCATGTGGTTTTTGTTTTTGCTTCTATTTATGTGGTGAATTACGTTTATAGATTTGCATATGTTGAACCATTCCTGTATTTCTGGGATGAAGCCCACTTGGTCACGATGGATTATTTTCTTAATAAGCACCTGGATTCGATTCGCTAGAATTTTGTTGAGAATTTTTGCATCTGTATTCATAAGGGATGTTGGTCTGTAGTTTTCCTTTTTTGTTGTGTCCTTTCCTGGTTTTGGTATCAGGGTTATGTTGGCTTCATAAAATGTGTTGGGGAGGAATCCATCCTTCTCGATGCTGTGGAATAATTTCTGCAGGATAGTCACCAGTTCTTCTTTGTAGGTGTGGTAAAATTTGGGTGTGAAACCATCTGGTCCGGGACTTTTCTTTTTTGGAATGTTTTTTATTGCTGTTTCAATTTCAGTCCTTGATATTGGTCTGTTCAGGGATTCCATTTCTTCCTGGTTGAGCCTAGGGAGGCTGTGTGTTTCTAAAAATTTGTCCATTTCCTCCACATTTTCCAGTTTGTGTGCATAAAGGTTTTTATAATATTCATAAATTATATCTTGAATCTCCATGGCATCGGTTATAACTTCTTTTTTGTTCCCGATGGAGCTTATTAGAGATTTTTCTTTTCTGTTTTTCATTAGTTTAGCCAAAGTTGTGTCAATTTTTTTATTTTTTCAAAGAACCAACTTTTTGTTTTATTAATCTTCCGTATAGTTTCCCTGTTGTCAATTTCATTTAGTTCTGATTTGATCTTATTAATTTCTCTTCTTCTGCTGGGTTTGGGGTTGGTCTGTTCTTCTTTTTCCAGTTCTTTGAGTTGATTCATTACGTTGTCTGTTCATTTTGTATTTAAAAAAAATTTTTTTTGTGAGCGAATTTGTTTGAGATTTTGAACTGTCTTTTTGTAACAGAATCTAAAATCCTAGTTTCTTTACAAAGCCTGTCATGTTGATCTGAAAATTGCTGCTTCTTTACTGGTCTGTACACAAACTCAGATAACATCCACTCCCATTATAATCTTCTCAGGCATATTTTCTTCCTCTTCAAAAAGCTATTACGATCTCATGATGGTGTGTACATCCTGAGTAATGGGTGTTTCTTGGCATTTGTTTGACAGATATGATCGCTTGCTAGAGACCTGCTCTATTGCCCTTGTGGGCAAATACACCAAGTTCTCAGACTCCTATGCCTCTGTCATTAAAGCTCTAGAGCATTCTGCACTGGCCATCAACCACAAATTGGAAATCAAGGTAAGGAGGATTGGTGCAGGCACAGTGGGAGTGCTGGGGTGGGCTGGGAAGCAGGATATATTCTCCTAGATGCTGCATGTGTATTTGCTTTATAGTTTCGGAGCTCTGGATTTCTTTTTAGGGATTAAAAAAAAACCTCGTGGTTGCTTCCTGGCTTTGGGAAAACAACAGAGCATTTTCAGGAGATAATGGGGAGGAAACATGACGTTTAGAGAAGGGGGTGAGAGGTGTCCACATAAAATTGCTCTGTGGGAATGGGGGCCCTGGTGGACCAGAGGCTTGTCGCGGAATTGGTGGCACTGCTTAGAAACTGTTCTAGACACCTGGCGGCTCTTGGAGACTTTGGCCACGGGCTGCCTTTGTAACCTGTGCTGGTACCACTTACCTCGCCTATAAAGTGGGAATGAAAGTATCCACCTCATGGAGCTGTGGGGTTCTCTGAGACATGTGTCTGGTCACCCAGCCGGTTCCTGGACCATGGGTGGCACTCAGTTAATGGTAGTTCCTGTGTTCTAGTCGGTGCCGTGGTGGAGTGTCAGGGCATGACCCTGCTGTCTCTATAGGTGCAGTAGAGTGTCATGGTTTAAGAGTGTGGATCCCAGAGCCAGGGCTCTGTCACCTGCAAGCTGTGAGACCTGGACAACTTACTTAATCCTCTTTGTGCCTCAGTGTCCTCATCTTTAGAAAGGGATGGTGATAGTGCCCTCCTTCTAGGGTTGTTGTAAGCGCTTCATGAATTAATACAGAGTGTTGAGAGCTGCCTGGCATGTGGTGAGCACTGTCTGTGTAAGCTCTCCTCGGAAACCCGTCTACCTGTCCCCTCTGTACCTTCTCTTCCAGCTCGCTGCTAGCTGGAGCTTTTCAGGAGACGAAAGTCAGAGGTAAAGTGGACCTTGGTTCTGAGGCTGTTAACTAGACCCCATGGAGCTGTCCCCGCTACTGGCTTTGGGGTGTGCCTCCCACTTCTCCAGGTGTTGCTCAGTGTGAGGATCGAGTTTGCTTTGTGCTGGTGGACAGGTTCCCGCAGAATGACCTTGTTATATGTGTTTTAAGAATTGGAGGATCCCATTACGCTGCCCTGACTTATTTTTTGCTAGTTCCTCCGTCATTCATTTATTCTACCTAACTAGAGTTGGTCGGCGGCTACCAGGTGTTAGATGGAGGGGCTGAGAGACGAACAGTCAACAGCCTCTGCCTTCGAGGGTTATCGAGTCTCTTAGATCTGAAGGGAACACACAGGAGAGAGGACGAGCCTGCCTTGGTAGATGCGTAAGGAGGGCAGACTGCCTCAAGGAGGGGCCCCAGGGCAGGCTGGGAGATGGAGAAGGCAGAGGGAAGGGCGTTGCTGACAGAAAACAGGCAGAGCACGTCCCAGGGCTTGGGGATGTGGAGCAGTCAGGAACGCAGTGGATGGAGACCGTGAATTGGAGGCTGTTTGGAGATAGGCCGGCGACAGCCCCGTCATGATTCCTGTGACCAGGGATCATGCCTGGATCTTGCCCTGAGCTTAAAATGCTTGCATTTTATCATATGTAAATTATACTTCAACACAGTAGGAAAAATGAAGGAGAAAACAAAAACAGGTGGGAGATGGGCTGGGGAGAGTGTCACTTGAACAGAGAACTCTTCAGAGTCTGCCCTGGTGACTTGGCTGGGGCCACATCCTAAACAGACCACGTGTAGAGTGGAGAGAGCGGGGTTTGGGAGTTAGAGGAATTTGAAGAAAACTGTTGTATATTCAGGTGACCACTTTAAAGCCAACATTAAGAAAGATGGAACATCGATGATGTTATTTAAAATTTATGAAAGCGCAGTCTGGAGTCACAAGCCTGTTTCTCTCCTCCCCTGTCTGAACAACGCCCAGTACATAGATTCGACGGACTTGGAGCCAGGCACCGCGCAAGAAGAGCCCGTGCGCTACCACGAGGCTTGGCAGAAGCTCTGCAGTGCTCAGTGAGTAGCGCTTCTGCCTTTAGCTTCCGGGGGCTTTGGTTTGTTTTAATGAAGTCCTGTGCTTTCATGTTCTCTAGTAGTAAGGAACGTACTTGTTAAAGTATCTCTTAATTATTGAAAAGACTACACACCGTATGATTTAAGCCTTATAAAAATGCAGCTTACCAATATCATTGGATCTGAAGAAACCTATTTTTTCGATATTGCTTATTGTAGGCATCTATTGATGAGGCTTATTTAAAGATTTTTCATTCAGAACATGTGATGAGTACCCATCAGTAGGGTCTCATAAATTGTTTTAGAAAGCTTCCTACATCCCCCTGGAATGTTCAGCATAAAAAATTTTTAAAAAGGAAAAAATATCTGATAGTGACAAATCAGCAAGGATTTCTGGTTCGCTGGAATAATTGAGTGGTACAGAGCTGTACAACTGCTAGGATTCTCGGTCATTGTGGCACACCGAGCTGGTGGAGAAAGGCCCCCTTCCTACTCGGGGGAGCACTTGAAGCCAAGAGGTAAAATAAATAATACATGTTAAAGAACATGAGCAACTCAGTGTCTGGGACAAGTGCTGCAAGAGTAATACAATTTTGTGTACTGTCTTGTTTTTCACTTGTAGTACGCATTTTCTTGTCTTACAAGGAAAGTTGATGATTAGGTTTGCAGTTTGTAAGTTCAAGGGGTTTACATACAGCTCATTGATGGTCTTGAACACTGCGTGGTCCCACTAGCAGAATGGATATAGTAACGTCACAGCGTCAGTGTCCTGGGGCGCCTCCTTAGGTGGTTGCTGCAAGCTGGACTGATGAAAAAGGGAGTAGCCTTGTGGTGTGTTCTCTTGTGCAGCGGTGTGCTGGTCCCAGGAGGATTTGGTGTTCGAGGAACGGAAGGAAAAATCCAAGCAATCGCCTGGGCTCGGAAACAGAAAAAGCCTTTTTTGGGTAAGGAGCTGTGACGCGCACTCTTCACTCAGAGTAGGAAAGAGTAAGAAAAGGTGCCACGCGGAAGCCTATAAATAGAGCAGGGAGGTTATTGAAACGTGCAGCTCAGGTAGAAAGAAGCCTTTTGGTTCTCTCCGGGAGAAATTCACACTTCTAAAGTGGAAAGTCATGGCTGTGAGCTACATGCAGATGTCATGGAATTCCGAGAGTGAACTATCGATTAGGAAATCCTGTCCACTTAACAAACCCAGTTGTTGGTAGTACACGCCAGGTTGAGTTGTACGTCCTCCTCACTTGGCACAACAGCCGACTGTAACTGGACGAAGTGATTCTGATGCCTCCTGGTGCTCTATGTTTTAGTAATTTTCAGCTTGATCAATTGTAAATGAGAACTTAAGGTAAGGAAACTTGAATTTTAAAGTACTGAATAGAATATCGCTTATTTCTAAAATCGGATAAGGTTGTAAAACCTGGAATCTTTGTGTACCTTAGACCCAGTTTTTGAAATCTACTACAGGTAAAGCATAACAGGGGATGCTTGTTTATAGCAGGGAATTAGGAGTTTGTGATAATAATTCTGTGAACAAGCAGGACACGGACTCCAGGGCAGGCTGGTGGGAAATGCAGGAGCTGCCTTTTCACTGGAGCTTTGTTTGTTTTTCCCTCCACCTGGAAGGTGTGTGCCTAGGAATGCAGTTGGCAGTGGTTGAATTCTCAAGAAATGTGCTGGGATGGACAGGTAAGTGTGTGTTAAGAAACTGTTTAATTCCTGCTGCTGTGTTTCCTGCGGGGGCGTGAAGCCCGTTGCATCGTGGGTTATTGGGAGCTGTGGAGAACGGCGGGCCTGGGCTCTCGGCACCTCGCGGCGTGCAGGGGAGGGGCTGCCTGGCTTCCTGAGGTGCAGCATGGCTCCTCCACACAGGGAGGAGGGGCATAGCTGAGCAAACAGTCCTTTGGCCTTCTGCCCCTGCATTTCCTGTTCTTGAGATGGTCTCACTTTGATCACCGTGGCTGCCATCTGGAGCTGGTGCCCAGCAAGAAGTTCCTGGCCTAAGTGAGGCTTGTGTAGTTGTTGTGCACTTGGGCTCTGGAGCTATCAGATCTGGGCTCAAATTCTGACTTTATCATTTAAAGGTGACTTTAAGCAAATTACTTAGCCTTTCTGGGCCTGTGTTTCTTCTGTAAGATGGGAGTAATAATAGTACCAACTTCACGTGGTTGTAAGAATTAAACGATGGTTGCAAACTGTCCCTGGCAGTGCCTGGCAAATAGGAAATGCTAACTATGTATTACTGTGTAACGGGCCACCCTGAAACTCAGTGGTTTCTAGCAACAGTGAGTTATCATTTCTCAGTATTCCATGGATCGACTTACCTAGGTGGTTTTGCTCCATGTGGTATCGTATCTGAGATCACTTACTCCTGCCTTGTGTTCATCTGTGTGCTTGGCCTGGTAGGGATGTGGAGGTGGTTCCTCCACGTGGTGGCTCATCATTCATTAATTCAGCCCAAGCTCCCTCACACATGGCGACCAACTGGCTTCCAAAACGACAGGCCGACTGTGCAAGCACTCATCAAGCTTGCTAATGTGCACTGGCCAAGTCACACGACCAGGCCCGGCGTTAGGAGGGGAGGGGAGCACACACCGGCGTGAATACTGGGCACGTGGTTTGCTGGGGCCACCGATGGAATAGTCTGCCACAGCGCGTTTATTCTCTGTGGCCCAGCTGACAGATATTGGATCTTCAGAAAGACCTCATAAGTTCTATGAAAAATAAACAGTGCAACCTGAAGGAATGCAGAAGCAGTCGGATTTTACAAAGCAGGAGTGAGTGATTCTTCACTGGCCAGGTTGTGGTTAGGGCTGGGATTTATTTCACCTTTTTTCTGAGAGGCTTCTTCCCAGTAACGCTGAGGTGGGGGGTGCTGTTTGGCAGGCACCATGCCCTTTAGTTCTGGCGTCTGAGTCCTGGCAGGCTGTGTCTCATCACCTGCCACCCTCAGAGCTGGCTTTCCAGGCTCCCTGGACCCTTTCAGAGCTCACCCCCTACTCCCGGTCAGGGTCCCAGGTGGGTGGGTGCCCTGGTGATGAGCTTACCCTTCATGGAGACCAGACCCTGGTTCAGGCTCAGGAGGGGAAAATACCTAGCATTGACACAGAAAGAGCTGGACGCAGCGTCAGGAACTGGGTCCTTTGCCTTTTAGTCTTTAGTGGGTTTGCTTATGGTTAGATGGTACATTCAGGAAAGGGCAGAAAGGTTATTTCAGTTGAAACCAGTTAATTTCTGATTTAGCTACTGAGTGAGGCAGTTGAATGGGGCAGTGTATTAGATCCTGGGGATGGAAGAAATGTAGAAGAAATAGTACTTGCTCGTGTTGGAGTGAAAGAGGAGTCTGCCACAAAAGTGAAAACATGCATTAAGATGACAATGGGAGGGAGGTGGGGGTGGGGAAAAAAGACGATAATATAAAAATTGTTGTAAAGATGCATTATCTAAATAAAAATTTTTAGGTTATGCCAATGGTTTCGATCTCCCTATTTTGTACAGCTTGACTTCCTAGAGAGTTACAGATTTAATGGAAAAAATTCACCTGTGTTTGTGTGTTGAGGGTTTTATGTCTTAAAACTTCTGTCTCTGGTTTTTGTTCCAATCATTGATCCTAAACTTGGGGAAACTGTGATTTAGAGCTTAGCAAAGAAACTAATAAATAATCAATTTTGTTTGTAACCATTTTTGTAACACAAGTATTACGATTTTTCAGATGCTAATTCTACAGAGTTTGACCCTAAGACCAGTCATCCCGTGGTGAGTCAAGCGTTGGCAGCTCCACAGGGCTTAGAAGGATGTATGAGGGGCATTCATGGACGTGACTGATACTTAGAGACAGGAAGTGAGACCACTTGGGTCCATTCCAGACCACCCTGAGCTCTTGGGCTTTCAGACCTATCGCACAGGAAAACCTTTTATTTTTTCATTATGGAATTCCTCACTAATCTTTCCAATTTACCATAGAAAAGTTTTAAAGACAGGTACCAGTCCAGCCAACTAGAGGGGATTCTTGATTAAAATATTTCTCCATCCCTGCTCCCCTCAGCTCCCAGGAGCACCGTGTAGATAATACTAATACGGAACACTTACGTAGGCACTTACTGTGTGCCAGCTGCTGTTCTCACCACCTTATATATATTTATTCATGTAATCCCCAACCACAGTCCCGGGAGACAGGCTTGTTGGAGAACCGCTGGGATCTAGTACTGATTGGTTTAACAGCATTAAAGCCTTTTCAGACCAGCGTACCTCACGTTAGATCTCGTGCCAAGGGCACGTGTCCCTACCCAGCCCACTGTATTGTTAAGGCTCACGGAGGAGGGGCCGTGCCTTTATTCCTCTTTGAATCTCCAGCTCAGGGGTGACAGGCATGTAAAGGGCACGTATTTTTTTCAGTGTTCAACAGTGTTGAGCACCTGCTGCGTGCTAGGGCTGCCCTTGTCACTGAGGATGCTATGCTAAACGAGGTGGACACGGCTCTTGAGCTCAGCAGCACTTGGGCAGCATCTGTGTGTTTGCTGACCTGAAATTGAACTTTGCTAATGCGAAGACCTCTCGAGGGGGCGAACAAAGGTTTCAAAGTGTGGGGCTTTGGGGTGAGGGGGAGCAGGATGCAGAGAAGGCCCTGGAGGTCGGAAGGCACTAGGCTGAGAGGTGAGCTGCACTGTCCCTGCCGCCCACCTGTTGCACAGACACTTGCTAAACTCCTGCTGGTGCCCACCCTGCCTCCCCTGCCTTTGAGCAGCTCATCAGGCTGGCAGGGGAGACAGGCATGTTATAACGGATCTAGTCTTGCATCCGTGCTACTGTGTTACTCGCTCTTAGAACGTGCCACTTACGAGCCAGAGTGCCGGAGCAGGAATAATCTAAGGAGGGAGCAGCTGCTTGAACCTCTGTGCAATAAAGGTTTAAAAACGAGCACTGGGAGGCAGTTTTCCCCCGTTACAAAATGAGAACCTACTCATAGTCTTATTCCATTCGGTGAAGGTGGTCTGGCTCCTAACACAAGCAGAGTTTTGAGGTTCATATGTGTTTCCCGAACATCTCCAGGTTATAGACATGCCAGAACACAATCCTGGGCAGATGGGCGGAACCATGCGGCTGGGCAAGAGGAGAACCCTGTTCCAGACCAAGAACTCGGTCATGAGTAAGAGCTTCCCCGCACTGGCCCAGCCTTCAGCTCGGCATGTCCAGGACATGTGTCTCAGGGTGGTGCTGTGGCTCTGAAGAGCCAGGCTGGCTTTTAAGTCAACTGTATGAAATTGCTGAGAATTTCACGATTTTGTCCCATAAAAAAAGGCCACTTCATATGAGTCAGCCTAAAAAGATTTTATTCTAACAAAGTAGTAGTAGGTGCTAAAGACTTAGGGAAATTTGGGGAGGAAAATATTTGTCAAAATGACTCTATTAGATGCATTTTTTTTCTTTCCTGCCCACTGGGAAAATTCCGCCTTTACTCTGTTAGCAGAGGCAGCCTGGTGTCTGTCTGGAGGTTCCACAGCAGCATAGTTTGAGAATCACTTGAGTGGGGGATCTTTGGGGCTTTTTGACCCTAATGTTCTGTGGATTGGGGGATATCATTAGGTGACCGGGAAGGAGTCGGTACAGGAGCCCATTTGCAAATGCAGTGCTCGTTCACCTGCAGCCACCAGGTGCTAACGACCTGTGATGCCTGTGATTTGAATGGCACAGTCATCAGAGGTCATCTGTTTAGCTCTTAATGTGTGTCCCTTCCCCGCATTATTCTCAGGGCCTTGACTGGGCGACATCCTGATTCGTTTTCCAAGCAGTTTCCAGCAGCGAAGTGCTCGTACTCAGCAGTCAGATGTTTTGAGGGTGGTGGTGAACGTCTGTTTCTGTTAGTTTTCCTTAGTGTGGTCAGAAAGAGTCAAAAGGCCAAGAATTAGTAGAAATTGTGCTGTTAAGAGCAGGCAACTATGGCAGAATCGTGGAGCTAGCCTCAAAAAGGCCTGGCCACGCCGGTGATGAAAAGTAAGCTGGGAAGCAGAACAGGGTTGTGACTCAGTCATTCTGTGAAATCGAGTTCTTCACACCCAGCATGTTTGTTTGCCAGGGAAACTCTATGGAGACCCAGACTACTTGGAAGAGAGGCACCGCCACAGATTCGAGGTGAGGACTTGAACTTGCTTCTTCCTGATACTGGGAAAGACAGTAAGCTGGAAAGCCAGCAAAATTATTTTTCATGCTTCAACAGGTAAATCCAGTCTTGAAAAACTGTTTGGAAGAGCAAGGCTTGAAGTTTGTTGGCCAAGATGTTGAAGGAGAAAGAATGGAAATTGTGGAGTTGGAAGGTGATTACTTGGGCATTTCTATTTAATGGAAAACTCAGTAGGGTTTTGTTTGCATGTGGGAAAATATAAAAATGTATCTTATCACTCCTGACTTAACAATTAGGAAGCAGTGCTGTCGTGTGAGGGAACAGGTTTTGGTGAACGAGGGTCTGGAACCCTGAGGCGTTCATCTTTGTGCCTGGCCTTCCTTGGGCAGCCATTTAACTTCTGGCCACAGTTCCTCCTCCAAAACAAGAGTCTGGACTTGGTACTAAAGCTCCCTCAGCTCTCACGTGAACTGCCCAGCTCAGTCGGCAGGAGTCAGGGAGCCAGGGTCTGTCTCAGGCAGGACCCTGGAGAGGAGGCTCCTTCAGCTGGAAGGGGACAGCAGTGCTGGGGAAAGGGCATCCGATTGCTCGTGCTTTGGGGTTACCTTTACCTGGATTCAAATGAAGAAGTCATTTTCAAATAATTTTAGGGTCTGTGGAAATGTAAAGCAGTTAATAAGATTTTTTCCTCTCATCTTTTACATTTTATGCATAACATACATAATGAAGCTGTTTCTTTTGAATTTCTCTTGCAGATCATCCCTTTTTTGTTGGGGTTCAGTACCACCCTGAGTTCCTGTCCAGACCCATCAAGCCCTCCCCACCATACTTTGGCCTCCTCCTGGCTTCCGTGGGGCGACTCCCGCATTACCTCCAGAAAGGCTGCCGGCTCTCACCCAGGTGGGCGCACTTTGTGCTTCACTGATCGACTCCTAGTCCTTTAGGGGGTCACTGGTGCATTACAGCGAGGTGTCACAGTCAGTCATAAGAAAAAGCCTGGTGCCTGGGCTGGGTGTCCTTGGATGGATTGTCACGTGCTCCTTCTCATGTCTACCCAAAAGCTTCCTGTCCTTTCTCCGTGTTTCCTCAGGCTGCTTCCCAGTGTGCTAGCCAGGTCCCCCTCTGCAGCTTCCGAGCTCCAGTGGTGCTGGCAGGGTCATGTCTGGCGAAGGACCTTTTGGTCCATGTTAGGTGGAAATCTGGCTTCTCATGGGGTGGGTTTTTGCCCATTGCTCCCTGTATCTGAAACCAGTTACTCCGAGGTGCTGGTTAAGGGCATCACGACTGAAGTGTAAATAGAATGTATATCTTGTAACTAGAAGACGAAAATCCCTCCACAGCTTCATGCCGAATAGATTGTGCAGTAAAGAGCCTTTCTGATCTCTGCTGTGTGCAGACAGGTGTCCCTGTAGTAATGGTGGCTGCAAAAACAGGGAAGTAAAGTGAGTTTTCGATGGGAGATGATGAATGAACCATCTGAATTCCACAGGGACACCTATAGTGACAGAAGTGGAAGCAGCTCTCCTGACTCGGAAATCACTGAGTTGAAGTTTCCATCAATAAATAATGACTGATCTTGTAACGTAAGTGATATTTTTAGGATTTAGTTTAAAAAAAAATAACACGCTTAGGATTACAAGAAGACCATGTAAGTTTAGTGCTGAAATTTATCTGCCAGAGAACGAAAGTGGTGAGGTCAGTGTGGGTATCAAGTGGACAAGCCCTCCTCTGAGTTACAGCACGCCTGCCCGCCCCACTTTGGGGGCTTCAGGGGAACACCGGTCACTGGGCAGTTGCGTCGTTACTGATTGCTGTATTCAGGTGCCCATCTGACCAGTTCTGGGGGACCTGGGTTCCTAGACCCTGTTGTTTCCTGTAGCTGTAAACTTAGAGATCTTGAAAGAGGTGACAGGTATGACAATGTGGCATTTCTCATTTTTGCTTTCAAGCTTTCCTCAGAAAGTACTTTAATACTGCTTGTGAAACAGTTTTGTATTGATTGCTGCTTATTTTGGAAATCCTTCAAAATCCAAACGATCATTGAACACTTTGAACGTTTGGCTTTATAGTAACAGGGTTTGTCAGTTTACAAAGTGCACTAACTATGGGCACTGCCACGAATCATAAAAGCCCTGTAAGATAACTGAGTGGACTGGGTCGACAGAAGTACGGATTCTGCTGGTGAGAGCATCAGAAGCGAGTGGGGGTGCTGGAGTCTGTGGGGTCTGGAAGGAGAACCAGGGATATGGGTGTGGGCCCACTCCGGGGATCCCACAGATCCCCGGGCATGGGTGAGACAAGCAGCAGCATGGGCAGGGGGACCTCCCTGCATCCTGTGTACCGTATGTTCACCACCGCGGGCCTCTGGCGCTGGTCCAGTGCTGGTCTGATCTAATGATCACGACCGCTTCCCCTCTGCCCTGGCGGACTGGCCACCTGACCTGTGATAACCTTGAATAGGCAGGCGGGCGTGGGAAGTGAGTGAGGGTCAGCAGGAAGGCCTCGTTACTCGCTCCAGGCCAGGTAAGCATTTAACACAGATGGACTCATTATCTCCTGACCACACAGTTTGCTGTAGGCTGTTTGACAGCGTAAGAAACTGATATAAAAAGAAACTTTCACAGTATAGGAGGTAGATACTGGGTCAATTATATGGGACTTATGACTGCCTTACCAGTGGACAATTGTTTGTCAGTGGCACTTTTAAGAGGCTGGGTGCTGTGGGAAAAGAATGCTTACGTTAGGACAGATGTAGAAGTTGATATGTGAGATCTTGAAAAAGTACGGTTCTGTAGGAATTACAAATTTAGCTTCTAATTATTCTTATTAGGGTCCTGTTCTGCCGCGAAAAACAGGCATAGTTTCCCATGGCCGCTGACTATGAATTCTGACTTTTCTACTTTAACGTGCATCTTATAATTGCTAAAATGTTTTTTTTTAAACAGGGATGATGCTTCAAGAGAGCCTTCAAACTTTGGTAGCGTTTACAGCTTTGATTTTACACTCGGCTTTTGACACTTCCTTTAAATTATGTTTTTACTCAGATTATTTTATTATAGGGGAAAGGTTTTGGGAAACTTTGTCACTTGCATGTCCCATCATGTGTACTGGCTCCTTCTACGTGGTGTGCTGCCTGCTGTGCAAGTCTCCTTTGCAGTTCTTGAGTTTCTGAGACGAGAAGCGGAACGTCCGGACGGGAACCGAGGGTGGTTGGGGCTGGTCGAGTGCCCCGTCGATCACCTTGTTTCCCCAGCTACCTCGCGTCACTGCCTGTTGCTTTCCCTGGGACGCCTAGACCGTAACAAAGTGTGCCACGGGGACTGGATGAGCACAGGAGGATAGCTTTAGCTAGTACTTGCCATGCTTGGTGCTGGGAACCTGAGGGCTGCTCGCCACTAAGAAGCAGTGAAGCCAGAGACAGACTCTCCCTCCTGCCCTGAGTTGTGGGGACTCTCAGTGCCAACTTTTGGCGGGTCCTCGTCATCCAAATGGATGGTCAGTTTGGCGTCACATGAAATAGCAAGAAGTCTCTCTCTCAAGTGTGATCTTAAAATCTCCCTGCCTCTGGCCGCGCTTCCATTCCTGGGGCTGGGAAACACTCCTTGCATCAAGGGGTCACTTTGAGAAGAACAAAGAGTCTTTTGGGGAAGCTGCCTCTAACACCCTCTCAGATACAGACAGCTTTGACTCGAGGGTACTTTTTTCTTTCTGGATGGTGTTATTACTGCAGTCGAAATGCAATATAAAAGCTATTTTCTTAATGTGACATTAACAATAGGCACAGCCGTGTGCGTACTATATTCTGGCTGGACTCAATGTATACTCTAACTTAAGAAATAAATAATGCGGAACAAGAGACATGCTTTGTTTTCCGTTCCCTGTGTCGCTGGCTGGATGGAAAATGCGTGAGTGCCGTGCGGGGCGTGCCGTGCACTCCAGGCGAGCAGCCTCAGGTGAGTGAACAACCTGATAATTTGTTTGCAAACTAAGAAATGAGCCCTGCTTTTAATAGGAACCAGAATTTTCCAAAAAGCCTTCAAATACAGGTTCTCAACATGCGAAGAGAGCAATTAAAAGACGCACGAGTGCTGAGTATGCTGCTTGCTGTTGAGAAAGGGGCGGGAATGAACACGTGTTATTTAGGAAGGTCTTTTCCTCTGCGGGTCACTGGACTTGGGCACTCCACATACACAGCCAGGGCGCGGCAGACAAAGACTGCTTTGTGCCCCGGCTCTTCCTCACCCGTAGCTTTCTGAGTTCAGGCCCAGCAGCTGAAGGTCACTGTCCTGAGTGGTTTGTCCTCCACAGTGACATCGTGGGGTGTTGGGGGCACGTTCTGGCCTCTGAGCACACCTGCTTAGGGATGAGTGGGCTCCTCTGCAGACTCTGGGAGGCAGGGGCTCAGATCTCAGGCCTGATTGCTTATCAGTGCTAACAGCCCTTACTCCTCACTGACATTTGAGAACTGGAGGCTGGGGAGGAAAATGTTTCCTTCTTTCACCATGTGGCCCAGCCCCTACATCAGAGAGATCCAGAAAAGAACTGGGCTCTCACTTATCCTTGCACTCACTGGTCCAAGGCCCACCACCACCCTGAGGCCCAGAAGCTGGTGTCCCTGCCTCCTGACCAACAGTAAGCCGCCTTTGTCTGCCTCTCTTTCTCAGAGACAAAATATCTTCACTTACATAGTGATCTTCATGCTTGCCTTGGTACTTTGCATGTAGCTGATTGAACATAGTTCTGACTTCCTTTCCTACCTGGTGGTCTCAATCTTCATTTTAAAAAAAAAACAAAGTCCCCAAACTGAGGGTCTGACCTGCCCACTGGTGGCAGTAAGTGCTCCCACAACGTGGGGACTCAGATGTGCGGTAGCTTGGGAAAGCCTCCCAGTGGTCACGTTCCTGCCCCTGCCTTTCGGATGGCCTCACTGACCAACTGTCACGTGCTGGCCACTTGCATAACCATTCTGAGAGAAGGGACCCCAAGTGGCTCTCTAGGGCTTGCAGTGCCCCACCAGCCCTGGCTGTGGCAGATGAGGCTATAGTAGGGATGGGGCCAGGGCTGGACTGCAGAGGAGGGTAGCCCTCCATGCCCGGTGTTTACTGGCCAGTGCCTGGAGGCATCTTCCTCTTGGGGAGGAAACCCAGCAACGCGCCTCCGTGTCCTTAGAGTAAACATCCTTCAATCTAGGGGATCTGGGCAGGTTCTTAGCAGTCTGTAGCAGCTGAACTGAAGCCTGACTTTACCCTGTTTTTGTAGAAACCTGTTGTTTCCCAATAAAAGCATTTCCAAGGACTGTGAGGCCTGGACTGGCATCTAGCATTGGGCCTGGCACATGGAAGGTGCTCACAAATGCCTCTCCTGATTTCTTAAGTAATGCATTCTTTATTTGTGAAGTTCTCAAGTAGCCTTGGTGACCCTGGGGCAGCTCAGTGGGTGGGTAACAGGAGTTTGGTAACCTGTCACGATACATGCACCCATTATCATATTTGGTCCCTGTGACCAGCATGAGTGGTAGCCAAGGCAGGGGTTGTATCCTGTTTGCTAAGTGGGAAAACCAGGTCTCAGAGCAGTTTTTTTTTTTTTGAGACAGAATCTTGCTCTTGCCCCGGTTAGAATGCACTGGTGTCATTGTAGCTCGCAGCAACCTCAAACTCCTGGGCTCAAGTGATCCTCCTGCCTCAGCCTCCTGAGTAGCTGGGACTACAGGTGTGCACCATGATGCCCAGCTAATTTTTCTATTTTTAGTAGAAACAGTGGTCTCTGCTCAGGCTGGTCTTAACTCCTGAGCTAAAGCAATCCGCCCGCCTCGGCCTCCCAGAGTGTTAGGATTATAGGCGTGAGCCACCGCGCCTGCCCTCAGAGCAGTTTGACTGGTTAGGAGATGTCACCTGGCTGGTGAATGGAAGGGCTGGGGTCCCAAAGCTATTCTTGTCTTCTACTCTATGGTTGTGGCCAAGGGCCCCTAGACCAAGGAAGTTCTAGAGAATCGAATGAAATGTGTTCTATGGTACCCCAGTCCTGTGAAATGCCCCGTTTGGCAAGGTTAAATGCATTTCTGGTGGCTCACACCCAAAATTTAGGAGTATGCTTGATTGTTTCATCAGCAGATATTGGGTATCTACCACATGGAGCCATACCAAAATCTCTATCCCTCACGGCATGTATTTTAGTGGGGGAAACACCAAATCTACACAGTGTGACCGTCCTACAGAGAAAAAAGATGGAAGCAGGAAAGGGAGGAATGGCTGTGCTGGGAGGTGGTGTGATTTAAAAAAGGGCGAGAGGAGAGTTGAGCATGGACTTGAAGGTAGAGAGGCAAGGAACTGGAGCCATGCAGCTATCTGGGAGGAGTGTTCCAGGCAGGAGTAGCGGCCAGTGCAAAGGCCCGGAGGCAGGCGTGCAAATGAGACAAGCTGGTCCGTGTAGCTGGAATGGCTTGTGCAAGGGGCAGAAGAGGTTAAGGTCTGGTGGTGGAGATCTGTGTGGGCCCTTGTTGGGCTTTGCTCTTGCTGAGATGGGGAGCTTGGAGGGCTCTGGGTGCAGGCACAGCAGGGTCAGAGTGGCTTTCCAGTGCCTGGCTTGGCCGGTCGAGATAGCAGGGCAGGTGGCCAGAGCAGAAATCCTCTCCAGTGGCAGGAGGGGGGTTGGAATGGGAGTCAGACCCTTCCTGTGCAGGTGCTGCTGTGTGCCATAGCCAGCACAGATGACAAATGCCCCTGCCCGCTGCCCACTGTCACTGTCTTAGGTGAAGCAGCTGAAGCAGAGGTATAGCACTTTGCCCTATGGCACCAGGTCTTCAAGACAGAGCCGCACTGCAGCCTGACCGTCTGTCCCTCTCCCCAACAGCCCTGCGTGGTAGGAGCCCAGGGCCGGTGGGCTGGGCATGGCACTCACAACCTGGCAGCATCTAACCAGCTGACCAAATGTCCCCGTAAGAACCATTCTTGCCCCAGGCACATGTAATTTATTCAGGAGCTTTGACAGCCACAGGTTCCGGCAAGTCCGGGGTGGGGGCTGCACGAGGCGTGTTTGCCCTGTAACCACAGTCACCAAATATGTCTCGCCATCTGCAAGGGGCTCCAAGATGACGTGTCCTTTCTGGCACTGTCTAGCCAACTGCAGTCACAGACCCCAGCCTGGGCCAAATGAGCGTTTTAGGGAGAGGGACAGTCCCTTATAGCTCAGCTGTAGGGTAACTCAGGCCAAGGTTTTACGAGTCCTTATTGAAAGTAAGGTTCCTTGGAGATGACAGTGCTGAGAGCAATTTCTTAGCTACGCAGACCAGGGTCTGCTCAGGGTTGAAGCCACGCAGGGCCCAGCCGAGGTGCAGTGTTGAAGGAGCTCCGAGGGGCCTGGATGGGTTTTACTGGCAGGACTTAGGGGTAAATAGGAAATCCCTGCATCTGCCTGCGGAGACCGCAGCGCCGTCCTGCCCGCTTGCGGGAGCCCTCACAGGACGCAGCAGGTGCAGGACACGGGCCAGTGCCGCTGCAGCTGCTGCTGGAGCTGCTCCTTCTCCGCCGTCAGCGCCTTCACCTTCTCCTCCAGCTTGCCCAGCTCCGCCATCCACTTCTGAGGACGTTGTGGAAGCAGATGGCTGAGCCGACATCGTCTTAGGTCAGCGCACCCTCCCACCTGGGGTTGAACTGAGGGAGGCAAGGCCCAGGCAGCCCGGGGGCCCTCTCAGCGAGGTAGGGACCAGGTCCCTCAGCCATGTTGCCCCCGTGACCACGTCAGCCCTGGGGGTCTAGAGAGAAGCTGCCAGTGCGCCAGGCCTTGGGGTGGAGCCGTTCTCTGCAGCCTCCCCGTGCTGGGGCAGGCACAGGCTGGCCAGCCCCCAACCCCTGGCCGTCCTCTGCTTTTCCACCACCCGGTACTCCCCTCTTGAAAAGGCTTTTCCGTGGGACTGTTCCTGCACCCCTGCCTCCTTTCTTCAGGGCCTCCCCTAAAATGTACTACATAGTCCTCGGGGGTTTCTGGCGACTTCTCAATATGCAGATCTCCCAGCTTCCTCAGCCACTCAGGGTTGAATGCCTTAACTGCCCGAGGGGGCTATTGCAGATATCACACTGCACAGATTTTGAAGAGGAGAGCGCTTGGGCCTCTCCCCACCAGCCACTGAACAGTGGAGTGGGGGATGTTGGTGGGGTAATTTTAATTCCACCGCTCCCATGCATTCATGGGGTGATGCAGGACCCAGGGAAACACAAGGGCTTGCCCAGGACTGCTCGGTGAGTGACCAAAGGGGCTTGGGGTCAGCTTGGCCCCACCGCACCTGCCCCCTTGGCTTCCTTACCTGCCTGCACCACTCTTGGATGGCGCTGGCGGACAGCGGGCCCTGGATGCTCCCCTCGCGCCGCAGGAACACCTCCCCCTGGTCTGTCTGGTAGAGCTGCGGCTCGCCCTGGGCCTTGGGGGCGTGCACGGTCAGGCGGATCACCTTGGTAAGGGCGACAGCAGCTCTGGCGGGTGCTGCACCTGGCAGTTGGCGGCCCCCAACCCCACTCAGACCACTCGACATTGCTCTCTGGCTCTGTAGGGCAGCTCGGCGGGGCTGGCGCAGGGGCTGCCCCAGCCTCTCCTCTGTGCCCTGCTCCACCGCTCCCTGCCCCGGCACACTCGACAGAGTAGCATGGGCCATCGTCTTGTTGAGTGATGACAGATGACAAAACAGACCCAGAAGCCTTTCCGTGCTGCAGGCTCACCTTGAGGGGCACACTGGTCGTGGAGGTGCTGACCACAGGGATGAAGGCGAGGGTGTAGGCGTCAGGAAAGACCTGGGGCTTGAAGCCCTGCAGGATGGAGTCCACCAGCAGGCGTGTGCGGTCCTCATCGCGGTGGCTGCAGCGGATGCCCTGCACCAGGCCGCTGTCCTTGACGCCCACGAGCAGGCTGCCGCCCTCGCTATTGAGGAAGGCGCACACGTAGCGCCGCACGTGGTGCTTGAAGGCCAGGTTCAGGTACTCGCCGCCGCCCCGCTTGAACTCCATGTTGCGTGTCTCACTGCCCAGGAAGGTGCCCTGGAAGAGCTGCTCCTGGCCCAGGATCTCCTGGTGCATGATGGCGCTGTCGGAGCACACGCCGCTGGGCCGGCCGTGGCAGCTCTGCTGCTGCCGGGCCTGGGGCCGCTTAGGCAACGTGGCTGTAGGCCAGGCAGGCATTGGGAGGTCGGAGCCTGGGCTGGGGCTGGGGCTGGGGCTGGGGCTTGGGCCTGGACTCAGGCCACTGTCCTCCTCCTGCTGGGGTGGGGATCAAAAGCGGGGTATATGGGTCTAGGCAGAAGTTGGGACCCGCAACTTGACACAGACTGCGAGAACCCCCAGCCGCAACCCTGTCTGGGGTCCAGCCCCCACAGGCATCCTGATACCTGCTCCTAGGCTGAGGGGCCCAATTCTGCCCACCCTCCTGCAACCAGTGTGAGAAACTGCTGGGTCAAGGGTTCAGACCAGCCAACTGCTCCTTCCCCTGAGGGCTGGGCTCTCTTCCTAGGTGAGTTGTGGGGTGCCTGGTAGGTAAGAAGAGGTTTCTGCTTCCTGAGGCTGGGAGCTGGGACACCTGTGGGCCAACCTCTTCCCACTTGGGTTGCAGATAGGCCTGCAAGGCTCAGGACCAGATCATTCCAGGAGGTATCTCAGCACCCTGAGTCCCCTGTGACAAAGCTGCAGGTCTCTGAATTGAGAGGGGCTCCCAGAGCCCCCATCCCCTTCCTGATCTCTCTGGAACCTTAGCCCACCACTGTCCAGACTATTGAAAAGTATCCCAGAATCTCAACTTTCCTCTGCCCTTCCTGAGTCCCCTTCTGTGGTTTCTGCCCTGCTTGAGGTCTCCGGCCATGAGCCTCCCCACTGCCACTTCCCAGCCTGGGCCTCCCCAGCCAGCCCCTCACTGGTCTCCCCGCCTCCAGGCTTCCCCCTTCCCAGCCACCCTCCTCACTGACCCTACGTGCTGGTCAGATTGTCACTGCCCCTTATAGCCCTTTTCCAAGTGTGGGCTGGGGCACATTCCCACCAGCCCTGCAGCTCCACAGAGAAGACAAATTTATCAGTCTTAGAAATGGGAAAACTGTCATACAAACATGACATCAGGCACACGTGTTGAAACGTGAGTCACAGAACTGTTTAGTTCTGCAACAGTTTAAACACCATGGGTTTTCACCCTGAAAGAAGAAAAACCAAGATCATCTGACTCACGGAGTGACCTGCCCTAACTTCCCATCCCCAGTAAAGCCAGCCTCTCGGCTCTGCTCTGCCTTGGTCTACAGCCTTGGTGACCTGGTCCCCACCCTCTGGTCTAGCTCCTTCCTCAGTTCCCCCTACAGCCTTCATCCTGAGCTCCGGTGACAAGAAATGGCTTGCCCTTCTGCACGGGCAACATTTCCCTTCACCCCCAGGGTTCTTTTGCATGACCTGTGTCCCTTGCCTGGAATGTCCTTGCCCCGACTGCCTGTCCAACTCCCTAAGTGCCAGCTGGGGTTTCACTTCCCCTGTGAATTTGTCCCCAGAGAGCAGTGTGAACCCTTTCCGTCCTCCCACAGCTCCGAGCACAGCCACCTCGCAGCTCTGTGGGCAGCGGTATCCGGCTCTGCTCAGCGACGCAGGGCTCCCGGAGGGCAGGACCTGGGCCTGTAACCTGCCTTCCTCCTGGCACACAGTGGGCATGTCTGTCAACTGAGCAAATGAGGGGGGCCAAGGAGAAGTCAGGACCCCTGTGTATCCTGTGGCCCCTCAGGCCCGGAGGCTGAAATGTAAAAGGACTCAAGGAGGAGGCCACCCTTCGGCCTTTCTTCACGCAAGCACCTGGGCTGGAGTCACACTGCAAGGGCCAGTGTCCCTCTGGGTGGAAGCTGGCAGTACCTGCTCAAGCCATGATCATTTGAGTAGCAGCCCCCAGTTTGCAGATTTGTCCCCACTCCTCAAAGACACCCTCCACCCCCCTGCGCAGGCCATTCACACCCAGGCCTCTCCCGCAGGCTGAAGCTTTGGGCCTTGTGTGGGGAAAGTCCCACTTACCTCTCTGCGGTTTAAGGGCTCCCGGCCCTCGCCCAGCACCAGCTCCTTCCCATGCGCTGCCAGCTCCTTGAGGATTAGGTGCTCCTCCGAGGCCATCTGCAGGCGCCAGGGGAGGGAGGCCAGGGTGGCCTTGTGGGTGGCCACCTGCACCAGTGCGTAGGCCTTGCGCGGCCTCCTCACCACCTCGATGTGCTCCCGCGCCACTGGCAGCTCAAGCCGCTCCAAGGTGTCCCGCAGTAGGCACGTGAGCACGGGCACTGAGAACTGGGGGTTCAGATGGCCCACATAGAGAGTGTGCATTCTGGGAGCCGCCTCGAGGCCCGAGTCCTTGGGTAAGGACTCTTCTGGGGAGAGCTCTCGTAGAGGCTGCTCACCCCTGGACTCCATGAGGGGCTCCCACACCTGCGTTTACGCTGATCTCTTCCTGGGGATCACGGGAGTGTCCCCTAGCAGGGGTTCGGGGACTCCTCACTGCAGGCTGCTCCACCCAGGGCCCGGACTCTCCGCTTGGCCCTGGGTCTCCCAAGGGACTCAGGGTGCCAAGGCTCCTGGGAGGCTCGCAGATTGGCAGAGCCGGGAAGGGCCAGAGAGAGGGGGGAGGGCACAGAGGGCCAGAAGGAAGGGGCCCACCACCCACTCAAGGCCTAGGACAGGAAAGGAGTCAGGAAGGACAGAGCCAGACACAGCCTGTGGGAAGACAGAGGATTTGCCCAAAGAGGGGCAGTAGAGACCGGAACTCAGGTCTCTGAGGGCCCCACAGTGTCCTTCCAGTGGCCCCAGGGGTCCTGTCTTCCCTCCCAATCCGCAGGCCACGGGCCGCCTAGGTGCCCTCAGGGTTTCCTGCCTGCCAGAAGATTGCCTCCGGGCACCAGAGAAACCTTTTCAAGAGGGCCTTTTGGAGAAGAGGCCTTAAGCCCGGACGCTCGGGACTGGCCAGCAGCCCCATTGCTGGAAGCTTGTCAGGGCTGGCTCAGAGGGTTTTGGAGCAGAGGTTCTCACGCTTTTGGCACACTGACGGAAGTGTGGCCCCTCTCCAGAAAAACGGCCTTTGCATATATACATACAATGTGAGGATGCTCACAGACCCTAAGAACTCCCAGTCAAGACTGAGTCCACCGTTTTTGGTCCAGAGAGCAGAAGTGAGGAAGGGCAGAACAGGGGCGAGAGTTGGGGCTTTTGCACCCCGTCCTTCAGGCCAAGGAGCCTCACTCCTAAGCTAAGCGTGTGTGGCGTCCTCCCTCTACCGATGACGCCACATACCCAGCCTCCGGTTTGCATGGTAGGTACCCCCAGTCTGAGGTACCCCCAGATAGAGTCCTTGAGGCATCAGGGCTGCGGCTACCATGGCTGGGGTTGGGCATTCAGGTCAAACAGAACAGAAGGAAAGGGGAGGCCTATGACCTTCATGTCCTGATGGCTCCTGCAGGAGCATGGGAGGTGCCTGCCCTGAGCTCCCACCGCCCCCTGACCCCTGGCCAGCAGCTCTCAGGGCACTTGGGGGCTTGGCATGGGAGCAGTAAGAACCAGGGTTATAGGAAGTGGGCGGGGCCTGTGCAGCTACCTCTGTGATCTCACGAGGGTCAACAATGCCTTCTTGGCCAGCCTCAGGCGGACAGGAAACTCCCCAGCTCCCTGTGGACCCCACCACACCGGAAGCGGATACAGCTGCCCACCCACCTTGCAGCTTGGCCACGGGGCTCCCTCTCTCTGACAACTTCCAGGACCCAGGGGCTGAAGACATGTTTCCTCCGTCCATAACATCTCCCCAGGCCCCAGTGCCCACACAGGCCACCAGTTGCCACCTCTTTCAGTCCCGTCACCTACAGCCTCCACCTCTCTCTCCGGTCACCAATCCCAGGCTCCACTGGGCACTGCCAGGGCCACTGATGGATCAGAATGCATGCGGCGGGGTCCAGGGCTCCCCCGACACCAAACCCTTCTCTATGCCAGAGACAGAGGCTGCCGCCCAGAAGAGCCCTGAAAAATAGGTCAAACATTGCCATCTCTTTGGAAGGACAGGGTTGTTACCTGCTGTTTGATGGGAACCAAGACATGGGTGGTACACAAATTTTATTAACGGATTAACTTTCATTAATCTGTTCTTAGACAGGTGGGGGCTGTGGTACGTGCTGTTCATTTGCAGCCCACACTGCTTCTGGAAGCCCTGACTGGGGGGAATGAGAATGGAGGCCATAGGCAGATGCTTCAGCTAAGGAAGCTGTTTGACATAGAAGAGAAGCTGCTTTCCTTGCAAGCAGCTATTCTGAAGATGTTACTGAACGTTCCTGTAGGGACCAAGGGAGTAGCTTGGGTGGGGAACTTGAGAAAAGAGACAATGGTGTGGGGGCAAGGGAGAGGCCCAGGTCCCAAATGGCGGCAGTGTGAGGCTCTGGAAAGAGCACGTCAGGTGACCTCTCCTTGCCCTCTGTCGAAGCCAGGTGGGACTCAGCTGTGTCCATAGCTCTGAGTCAGGAAATGATGGCTCTGAGCTCCCCATGCCCTCTCTCTTCTCCCTCAAGCCTTTCTTGTTTCTGACATCCATGAGCTGCTCTCGCAGCAACTGGACAGCCGAGGCTGTAGTTTAGAGAGGGTCAACTCGTGTTGAGGTTGAGTAGTGCAGAAACAGCCGGCCAGGAGAGCGCCCTGCAGATGAAACACCTGAACACAACCAGAGGTGTCCCCCCTACTTATCTAGAGACCCTGCTATTGGGTGGCTGTTCTGCATGAAATTTCCCAAACTGACTTGAGTGCCAAAACTTCCCCCCACTCTTACTGGCCATCTCTTTAAGACAGTCTATACGTATTTCTCTGGAGCCTTTAACAGCCTTATGTGGGCTGGACATCAGTTCCACTTCTTTTTGGGGGTGGGGGTAAAAATTGTCTCTCATTGTAAGCACCATATACGTTTACAAAAACATTTTAAATACAGAAATGAATTGCAATATCATAGGCTTATTTACAGCATCTCAGGCTTTCTAATACTATTAGAAAGTACAGGTGCTCTGCGGGCAGCTCAGAGTGGTGAGTCTGGGGCTGTGGGATAAGCAGCCCTGTTGCTCCTCCTGCTGGATGGCTGTGACCTTACTGACAGACTGCATTTAACACCGGAGGGAAAAACCCCGGAATTTAAGGCTGTTTATGAACGTGAGGTGGGGCCTAAAGACGAGGGGCAGAGACAAGCTGTGGAATGCCTCTTTGCATGTTATCTGGACAGTGTCCACTTGGTGGCCCACATGGCCATGATCTCTGAAGCCATATCAGGACAGGTGTCTGCCTTCCTGTCTTCCCCCAGCTCCAAAATTGTAGTCTTTGCTAACTGTCCAGGGAGGCCAGTCAAGGAGCAGAGGGGCAGGGAAGGGACATGAGCTCAGCCACATGTGGCAGAGGACGTGGATGTTGAAGAAGAGCAACTCTGAGAAGGGTGTTGTGGATGCAGCCTTCAAGGTCCTGGGACCCATGTCGCTCCAGCCTCATACCACCAACTGCCCGTAGATTCAAGCCTGACTTCTGGCAGGATCTAGCCTCAGCCACCACAGGGTATCTTTGAGACCAGAGTGGCTCTGGCCATGTCTGTGCTCTGGGTACTGCTGGCCTCCGTGAGCATCTGCAGTGGCTTTGGTATTGCAGGCGCAACACCTGGCTGTGATTATCCCTGGACTGGAGGTTTGAAGTTGAGGCCACCCGTGAGCTGCTCTCACAGGAATGTGGGAATGAAGGAATGCGGCGGCAAGGCCAGATCTAGTGACTCAGGGTATTAGGGTAAAGAGGCTGCAAAAAGCTGAGGGCTGGCGAGGGGAGGAGTGCCTGGACTCTCTTCTTCTCAAGGTTTTCCGTGTTTTTATCTTTGGTGGTAAGCAGAGGTGAGTCACCTTCAGGCTCTTCCAAGGAGCATGAGGACAGAAAGTGTGTCCACTTGGCCCACCAGTGCCACACCCCAGAGGAGGAGGCCAACGAGGAGTGTCTGGACAATGGAGGAAGAGTGGAGGGCTGACATGGACCACGTGACCAGCAGGCAGGGAGGAGCCAAGGATGGGGAGGGGGTAGAGGGTTCCAGAAAAATGCCCTACCCTCCTTTGGATTCAGCCTTAAGTGGGGCCTAGACACTCGGTTACCTCCTGAATGCTTGGTGTTTCCCTCCCGATCTCAGCACAAAGTCGGCGTCATCTCCCCATCACAGCGCTGAGGGTGGGCACGTGAAGCTGATGCCACGAGGCCTCTGTCCCCCAGTCCTGCTTTCCCACGTGCCTTCCCCCTTCGTGGCTGCTGGATTGCCGGGGTCCATGGAGTGGTCCCCTGTGCATTGCAGCACGTGCGCACTGGGCCTGCCTCAGGCCACTTCAACTGCTTTTGATGACTCTGGGTCACTATTAGAAGGCTTGGCTCTGTGGAATTATTTCAAAAGTTGAGGGTTTTTTTTTTTAAACATTCAATTCTGACCCAAGAGGTTAGGGCAGTATGAATAATGCGTTCAATCATCTCCCTTCCTGAAGAACTTGACATTTGGTTACCTTTCTAGTTCTTTTTCCCTGGAAACCAGATAAAAGTGGAACATTAATTGTTTCAAGGCAACATTACTCCTGGTAAAAATGATCCCTAATTGTAAATTATCTGGACTTGGAGTTCTATGTATTAACTACAAACACTTGCTAAAATGCCACAACTTTGGGCTTGCTACTGGTAATGACTCAATCAGGCATTTCCCTTGCAGAGTTGCTGGAAGCTATGCCTACTGAGTTGCTCAAAGGGGTATTAGCTCCTTTGGGGTCTGATGTCTCTAAGCCAAGGCAAGCCCCATTTTTTCCTGAATGTCTCATTTCCTTGTACCTGAGCTGTCACCTGGGCAACCAAGGAGAATAGCTCCTGATGACTGGGCTCCGCAAGGACTACCCTCCCCACCGAGAAGGATGGCTTCATGCTGTCCTGCTGGCAGGCCGTTTCCTGTCAGACAGCCTTCAAAGTAAACGCCATGCCCAGTGCTACACAGCCTGTGGAGTTCTGAGTCTGCAGGTGGTTGATCTAAGACAGATCCCTGGAGGGAGCTGTAAACGGTATGATGTATTGTACCCCTTAATAGCTATGGAGTTTTGGGCATCTAAGCACTTCTAAAACTGGGGTAACATAGTAGTAGCTGTGAGGTTGAAATGAGATAACGCACATAAACAACCCAGCACCATTGGCCCTCAAAACAATGTTCGTTATTCAGTTACGTACTCTTGGTGACAAGAGGGTATGAGGCGGGGTGGCTGCCACTTTGCTTCACAAGGCGCAACCTTGCAGCATGTCTGGCCAGTGTACACATGCCAGTGTTACCTTCAGTTCCTGTGTCTCCTGCGTAAGGACCACGTCCATTGTTAAGGTTCAGCAAGGCCTCTGTGAAAGTGCCCTGA